ACCTGTACGCTCTTGTTGGCTGGTCCTCACTACATATTCGTCGCCAAACCCACTGGCTCCAGGCCATCTATAAATCACTGCTAGGCAAATCCCCGCCTTATCTTAGCTCATTGGTCACCATAGCAACACCCACCCGTAGTCTGCGCTCCAGCGGGTATATCTCACTGGTCATCCCCAAAGCCAACACCTCCTTTGGCCGCAATTCCTTGCAGTTCTCTGCTGCCAATGACTGGAACAAATTGCAAAAATCTCTGAAGCTGGAGACACTTATCTCCCTCACTAACTTTAAGCATCAGTTGTCAGAGCACCTTACCGATCACTGCACCTGTACACAGCCCATCTGAAATTAGCCCGCCCAACTACCTCATCCCTATATTGTTATTTATTTTGCTCATTTGTACCCCAGTATCTCTATTTGCACATCATCTCTTGCACATCTATCATTCCAGTGTTAATACTAATTGTAATTATTTTGCACTATAGCCTATTTTATTGCCTTACCTCCATAACTTGCTAAATTTGCACACACTGTATATATATGTATTTCTGTTGTATTTTTTTTTTTGACTTTGTTTTGTTTTACCCCATATGTAACTCTGTGTTGTTGTTTTTATCGCACTGCTTTGCTTTATCTTGGCCAGGTCGCAGTTGTAAATGAGAACTTGTTCTCAACTGGTTTACCTGGTTAAATAAAGGTGAAATAAAAAATAAAAAATAAAACAATTTCATCATCTTCTATTGTGCTAGTGCCACTGACTGTGAATTATCTCCTATAATATGAAACTCCAGCAACTCTCAACATTTAACTGTTTTGCTCCTGGCAGTACATGAAACAGTCGTATACAACTCTAATCCAACCTGTATACGACCCAGCCAGTTCTGTTTGACTTGGTTTCCAGCTCAGATTGTTGTCCTGACTCCCGTGGCACAGAGCCCTTGCAAAGACAAACACAAACACCAGTGGTCAATTGGGTTGAAGGATTGGGGTGAAAGCACTTACTGTCCCACCTCAGTTCACAGGAAGCCCCCTGTCTGACGTAGCTGGGGTCACTGGTTAGAGCTCACTGCCTGGCCTTCTGAATCAGCCCCTGTCTGTAGAGTAGCTGTGTGGTACAGCACAGAGAGCTGCTATGGCAACTCCACTGACCTGCAAACCTGAAACTGAGAGAGGGCGGGGTTCACGGGCTAGAATAGACCTCCACGACTGATGTTAAGATTTAGGCATTAGTTAGAGTGTAGGTTTAGGCTTAAGGTTCCAAAACATATGAAATGGAGCAAAGAGAAGATTTGTTTATTTTTTTTAGAATATATCCAAATAATTACATTAGAAAACATTGAAATTTGACATTGTAGTTAAATGTCACAATTACAACGCTCATGTCATCTAATCACAACACTTTCTTGGCATCTCAACTTAGTTAGTTCTAAGTTGTATACATCTGAAATGAAAATATATGTTCTATCCCTTCTATTTCTACGGTTCCTCTCCTCTGTGATTCTGCAGGCTCTGGAACCCTTCAGGCTCCAGGTGATCACTAATTTCTCCGGCTCCTTTCTGGCGAGCGCCAATCCCTGTTTTAATGGGAGCCTTCTTAACTGCTCTTTCAGAGGAAATTACAACCTTGGCCCTCACCGCTTGCTCACTTGGCCCACGAGAGGTGAGGCAGGAGAGGGAGGGGAGCACACTGGCGCATTGTCCTGACACAGCCAGGAGTGGAAATGTACCGCCAGAAGCAAGGTGGTAGACTGGTGGCAGTGCTCATGCATGTGTTTCTGTGCATGTGATTGCATGAGTGTGTGCGTGCCTGTATGTGTAAGTGAGTGAATGAGTGAGTGAGTGGATAAAGGAGAAGGGCTGGAGCTCTGTAGGTTCTCTGTAATTTCTCCCTCCCTGTGCAGCGTAATCACTTCCATCTGGGCCCTGCCCAAAGAGAGAGAGAGAAAGAAATGGTGGAGTGGCCTCGTCAAGGAGGTGAGAGTTAAATACACACACCCATATCATATGCACACACTCATAAATAACCCATATTCTAGCAGACACACAACACCCACTAATATACACATCCAGTCTACATATTCTCATTCCAAAAACACTCAGCATAAGAGTTACTAACAGTAGCACAGTCACTTTCTACAGTTTTCAGACAAGTAAAAAACACCCTAACAGTCATGCCCAGTCTCACACCACTCATAAAATCGTTCTGTGACATTATTACGTTTGCTACTATTAGCCCTCTGAACCAGTCATATCAGAAGAAGAAAAAACATTGACTCTCATTGAAAACTTTAGCCCACACTATCAATAGAAATTGATTGAACAAATCTTAGCATTGTGTGGTTATGGTAAGGGCATAAGACCGCATTTTCTAATTTCCTTCCATCAATCCTGAGGTTTTTCCTTCCTCTTTTTTGGGGTGGTTCCGTCTGTCCTGCTGCACATGTTGATCTGTATGTTGGAAGGCCTTGGGGACAGACAGACAGGCTCTCCTACCAGATGTTCATGGTCAACATGCAGCGTAACTAATAATAATGAAATATAAAACAGGCCCTTCTGCACGCCAACCCGTCTGCCAAGCGGACCGCTCAGATAGATCTCAGCTGTACCGCTGACCACAGGGACACCTAAAGCAGGCCAATCCTAATGCTGAATGAGGTCTTATCAGTTCTATGTCCTCCTTTACCATCCTTCAGATAAGAGGCTGAATGAGAAAATGAAAGTAAAAAGAGAAAAATAAAGGTGAAAGGAGAGATGCCGTGTGATCTTATCAGACAGAGAGAGAACGAGAGAGAGAGAGAGAACACATTCCTGAAGCGACTGCAGGCTACATACAGACAGTGAATAGAGGCCCCGAAGGCCTGGATTTAGTGGTGTGTGCTGCCTGCCAGTGCTGCTGGTTTGAACATTTCCTCTAAAACACAAAAAAAGAGCAGCAAATATCCTAAATTACTCCATGCCCCCTTGGCCCACATTACAGTATTAAACATTATGAGGAGAGGGGGAGGGGAGATGTATGACTTTACATAAGAGTTATTCTACCTCTAGTGAGCAACACCCCCTGCTGTTCTCCCATGCCCAGTCAGTCACACTGGGTTAGCTCACTTCTACATGTCCTGTTATCCTGGGTGACACAGGGCAGCCACTCTTGTCATGGTTTAAGTACAGATACAAATGTGTGCTAGTGCTGATCATAGTTTTTCTTCTGCTGGGTCAATATGTCTAATTACTAATAAGGGTCCTGAAATCCTACAAATTGGGGTCGCTGGCCTGGGTGTTGGCTGAATGTGTTTGACAGCACAATCCTCAATAACAGAAGACTTACTGGGAGCACATCCAATTTCCTGGGGATGCTGAGTACTACTACTGACCTAGTTACTGACATTGCAGGGCCAGGTAGAGCAGGAGGCAGGCCCCACAGCAGACAGACAGCAGTCTCCTGTCTCCATCGAAGCCAGCCAGAGGCCCAGTGGGCCTGTTTCACTGCAGGCCAGGGAGGCCAGCCTTCAGCCCAGCCTGCCGCCATGGGAGAGGTCAGGGGCCAGCATCTGGCTGATGTGTTACACTTGGATCCACTGACAGGCAGGGTGGGGTGCAGTAAGAGTGCTTGTAAACACCCGGCATAAAATGTGAGTTTGTTATTAAGGCTGCTGTTCAGATGGGGGGGGGGATGTGCTTGGATGGAGAGCGATGGTGGTGGTGGAGCTATAGCCTTAGCTGATCCCAGCTGTCTGAATAAACTCTAATTATCACCACCACCCCTTGGAGGTGTGGGGAGCAAATGTTCCTAGTGAACCACCCAGGAACAACAGCCTCACAGCCTAAACAACATGGGAGACTGACTGTGTGTGTGGCAGGTGACTGCCTCACCTCCTGGGCCAAATGGCCTGGTAAAACATGGCAGACACGGAATGCAGACAATCAAAACGACAACAAAAACAAATCAACTCAACAATGTGTGAATTCAAGCTGCAGTGTTATTCCTTCATCCTCGCCTCCACCACCATAAAAATGCTGAACATTCCAGAATGAAAACAACAACAAAACAACCAATCACTGATAACAATTCAATATTGGGAAAAACAATAGGCTGCACAGGATCTAAACTGCATTATGATGAAACATGGTCACAAGTCACAGCATTCTCCCCCTATTTACAATAGTATGGGCATTGTCATGGGTAAATGGTTTTAGCATCGGTCTGGATCGTTCCCTCCCTCCTTAACTGAAATTCTCATACACCTCTCTCTTCTTGACGTCCCGAAAGAGCTTCATTCCCATGATGCATCCCACTAACTGATGATAAAAATGATAATAACACAGTAAGTACAATGATGCAACATGTGACCTCAGTAGGACACCTTATATGTTTGTTTTTTTGTCATCTAGCAGACACTCTTATCCAGAGCAATTGCTCCTTGCTTAAGGGCACATCGACAGATTTTTCACCTAGTTGGCTCGGGGATTAGAACCAGCGACCTTTCGGTTACTGGCACAACGCTCTTACCCACTAAGCTGTTGTTGTAGCTCTATGAGCCCCAGTACAATGCAGGCGGCACCCAGCCACACCAGGTTCCTCTTCAGGTACTCTTTGATCACCTGCACACAGCCCTGGAGGGACGACACACACACACACACACACACACACACACACACACTCTAGCACAAAGTGTTGTGAAACCTCTCTTCCAGTGACTAAATGAGCTGTTAATGAACTATGTCTGTCCTCCAGGGGCCACAGTGTCTGCAGTCAGAGAACCAGCTGATAAACATCAGGAGTATATTGACCGTGTTTAACTTTATCCTCCCAAGTCACTGCTTGTCTTACCTGCTGAATTGCAGACCTCCAGGATCTGAGCTAAGCATGACTAAAACCTTGTTATTATGGGTTTTAGTGAAAAGACTCAGGGCATTTTAGATAAAGCCTCATTACTCTTTAGGGCCCTTAAAATGTCTCATCATTGTCACAGCAATTCCCATGTAGGAAATCACGATCACTTTTTTGTTAACCTGATCTATGGCCTTGGTAACCCCCTCGCCCTTCCCTGTGCTGGTTAATACTGACCCTCTGGTAGATGTTGTCTGTGGTGACGACTTTCACACAGGCCACAGAATCCACATGGCAACAGGAGTGTGGCAAAACACTAATATTCCCATGAGAGCTCTGCAGGAGCCAGTCAGTGTAGTTCCCTGCACCACAACAATGGAACTGAAACACACATACGCACATAAACAAACTTTGATAGTGTATCTCACAGACACCATTCCCCTGGTAAGGAGTGAATAGCACCCTACTTACAGCATCCTGTAGGTCATCGATGGCAACCTTATCCCTGGGGCTGTGCTTCATGATCACCTCTTTGGCTTTCAGTGTGATCCTTCTCTCCACCTGCAGAGGGTGCAAATGACACACAAAGCATTTTCACCCTTGTCAATCAAGCAATACTAGGTGAATTCCCTGGAAAACATACAGTGATCATCCAAGACTGCAGTAGGTTGAGACAGCCGAACAGAGTCATGTTCACCTTGTTTCTGAAGACATAGAAAAGAATCCCAGACACTATCTGCAGGCTGAGGATCAGCATCCGGAAGCCTGTGAACTACAGAGTACCAACAATTAAGATGTTACTCTCCAAAAGCATAATGCAAACGTGGCAGAGCTAGGACAGGTTATGATTCTGTCAAGGATGGGCGTAGGTGTGGTGTGGAATCAATTGCAGGATGCAGATGCAAGTCCAAAAACACTTTAATGAAGTCCACAGAAATAACGGCTACAAACCGAGCCGGTTGAACAAGGAAAAAATAAACGCACTCAGCGTAAAAGTACAACAAACGCACAACGTGCGGACTCTCTAATAACATAGAGCACAAACTGACTGGCAACACCTGCTGACATGGAACAACTACACACAACCACAAGACAGAAACAACGAGAACTTAAAGGACACATAATCAAGACGAAATGAGCAACAGGTGTAACAAATCAGACCAAACAAAACACACACAGAAACAACGAACGGTGGCAGCTAGTACTCCGGGGACGACGACCGCCGAAGCCTGCCCGAACAAGGAGAAGGAGCAGCCTCGGCCGAAACCGTGACAGTACCCCCCCCCCCCCCCCCCTTGACGCGCGGCACCAGCCGTGCGCCGACCCCGGCCTCGGGGACGACCAGGAGGACGCGGAGCAGGGCGCGTGGGATGACCACGATGGAACTCAGTCAGAAGAGACGGGTCTAAGATATCTCTCCTCGGCACCCAGCACCGCTCCTCCGGACCGTACCCCTCCCACTCCACAAGATATTGGAGACCACCCATCCGGCGTCTCGAATCCAGGATGGACCGAACTGTGTACGCCGGAGCCCCCTCGATGTCCAGCGGGGGCGGAGGAGTCTCTGCTATCTCACACTCCTGGAGTGGACCAGCTACCACCGGCCTGAGGAGAGACACATGGAACGAGGGGTTAATATTCTTATACTCAATAGGAAGTTGTAATCTGTAACACACCTCGTTCAACCTCCTCAGGACTTTAAAAGGCCCCACAAACCGCCGACCCAGCTTCCGGCAGGGCAGGCGGAGGGGCAGGTTTCTGGTCGAGAGCCAGACTCGATCTCCCGGTGCGTACACCGGTCCCTCACTGCGGTGGAGATTGGCGCTCGCCTTGTGTCGACGGATGGCCCGCTGCAGATGTACGTGAGCAGCGTTCCACGTCTCCTCCGAGCGCCGCACCCACTCCTCCGGCCGGCCCTGGCAATACGACCTCAGAAACCTACCCACATCCTGGTTTACTCGTTCAACCTGCCCATTGCTCTCCGGGTGGTACCCCGAGGTAAGGCTCACCGAGACCCCCAAGCGCTCCATGAACGCTCTCCAGACTCGAGAGGTAAACTGGGGGCCTCGATCAGACACTATATCCTCGGGTACCCCGTAATGCCGGAAGACGTGAGTGAATAGTGCCTCAGCGGTCTGTAGGGCAGTGGGAAGACCCGGCATGGGAAGGAGACGACAGGCCTTCGAGAACCGATCCACAACGACCAGGATGGTGGTATTTCCCTGGGAGAGGGGAAGATCAGTAACGAAATCCACCGAGAGGTGAGACCAGGGTCGTTGTGGAACGGGCAGGGGTTGTAACTTACCCCTGGGCAAATGTCTGGGTGCCTTACACTGGGCACATACCGAACAGGAGGAAACATAAACCCTCACATCCCTGGCTAACGTTGGCCACCAGTACTTAGTGCTAAGGCAGTGCACCGTCCGGCCAATCCCTGGATGTCCAGAGGAGGGTGACGTGTGAGCCCAATATATAAGTCGATCCCGAACCTCGAACGGCACGTACGTCCGACCCACAGGACACTGGAGGGCTAGGATCGGTACGCAACGCCCGCTCGATTTCGGAATCGACCTCCCACACCACCGGTGCCACCAGGCAAGACGGCGGGAGTATGGACGTGGGCTCAACGTACCTCTCCTCCGTGTCATACCGCCGGGACAGAGCATCTGCCTTACCATTCTGGGACCCAGGGATGTACGTGATCTTAAAAACGAACCGGGCCAGCAACATATTCCACCTAGCCTGGCGAGGGTTCAGTCTCCTAGCTGCCCGGATGTACTCCAGGTTTCGGTGGTCTGTCAAAATGAGGAAAGGGTGTTGAGCCCCCTCTAGCCAATGCCTCCACACCTTTAGGGCCTGGACCACGGCTAGCAGCTCCCTGTCCCCCACGTCATAATTTCCCTCCGCCGGACTGAGCTTTTTAGAGTAAAAAGCACAGGGGCGGAGTTTCAGGGGCGTGCCAGATCGTTGCGAGAGCACGGCCCCTATACCGGCTTCAGACGCGTCTACCTCGACCTGGAATGGGAGTGCGGGATCCGGATGCGCCAACACCGGCGCCGAGGTAAACAGGTCCTTCAGTCTCCCAAAAGCCCTATCCGCCTCAGCAGACCACTGCAAGCGCACCGGACCTCCCTTTAGTAGAGACGTTATGGGAGCTGCCACCTGTCCAAAACCCCGGATAAACCTCCTGTAGTAATTCGCAAAACCCAAGAACCGCTGCACCTCTTTAACAGTAGTTGGAGTTTGCCAATTACGCACGGCCGACACACGGTCAACCTTCATCTTAACCCCTGACGCAGACAACTGATAACCCAAAAAGGAGACAGACTCCTGGAAAAACAGACATTTCTCTGCCTTGACATACAGATCATGCTCCAACAATCTCCTCAATACTCGGCGCACCAGGGCTACATGCTCGGCTCGGGTAGAAGAATACACTAGAATGTCGTCAATGTACACGACCACTCCCTGCCCCTGCATATCCCGGAAGATCTCATCAACGAAGGATTGGAAGACTGAAGGAGCATTCATTAACCCGTATGGCATGACGAGATACTCGTAATGACCCGAGGTGGTACTAAATGCTGTCTTCCATTCGTCTCCCTCCCTAATACGCACCAAGTTGTATGCGCTCCTGAGATCCAATTTTGTGAAGAAACGCGCCCTGTGTAAAGACTCCGTCATAGTCGCAATCAGTGGGAGTGGATAACTGTATTTCACAGTAATCTGATTGAGACTGCGGTAATCAATACACGGGCGCAAACCTCCATCCTTTTTCTTCACAAAAAAGAAACTCGAGGACGCAGGGGAAGTGGAGGGTCGTATGTATCCCTGTCTCAGAGACTCGGCTATGTAAGTCTCCATAGCTCTCTTCTCTTGAGACAGAGGATACACATGGCTCCGCGGAAGCGCAGCTCCTACCTGGAGGTCTATCGCACAATCCCCCTGTCTATGTGGTGGCAATTGCGTCGCCTTCGCTTTACTAAACACAATTGCTAAATCATCATACTCGGGGGGAATGTGCAATGCCGGCAGTTGGTTTGGACTTTCCACCGAGGTCGCCCCTACGGAAACGCCCAGACATCGCCCTACACACTGGACAGACCACTCCTTGAGAGCCCTCTGTTGCCACGAAATAGAGGGATTATGAGTAATCAACCAGGGAAGCCCCAGCACCACCGGATACGCAGGAGAGTCTATAAGATATAGCTGAATAGTCTCCTCATGACCCTCCTGCGTCCCCATCCCAAGTAGAGCTGTGACCTTCCTAATCAACCCCGATCCCAACGGACGGCTATCTAAAGCATGTACTGGGAAGGGACTACTGACTGGAAGGAGGGGAATCCCTAACTCAGCACAAAATCGCCGATCTATAAAATTCCCAGCTGCGCCTGAATCTACTAGCGCCTTATGCTGGGAATGAGGTGCAACCTGTGGGAAGCAAACAGGTATGGTTAGGTGATCAACAGAGAGCTCTGGGTAAGTGGGGCGCCTACTCACCTGGAAGGACTCCCCAGAGCGTGGCCTGCCGTCTCTCCCCCTAGGAGACCCCCCCCAGCACCTGGCCGCAGTGTGTCCTCCATGGCCACAGTAGGTACAGGGGTTGGTTCCCCTGGGGCTCCTTCTCCTCTCCTCTCTAGCGCCAGCACCCCCGAGCTCCATAGGACTAGGCTCGGAGGTGCTGGAGGGTGGAATGGACGACCCCCACTCAGGACGTCCGCGTGTGGCCAACAGGGTGTCGAGGCGAATGGCCATGTCAACTAACTGGTCAAACGTGAGGGTGGTGTCCCTGCAGGCCAACTCACGACGGACGTCCTCCCGTAGGCTGCAGCGGAAGTGGTCTATGAGGGCCCGCTCATTCCACCCTGCGTCTGCCGCTAGAGTCCGGAACTCCTGTGCAAAATCCTGTGCGCTCCTCTTCCCCTGTCGGAGGTAGAATAGACGTTCTCCCGCCGCCTTCCCCTCAGGTGGATGGTCGAATACAGCCCTGAAGCAACGGGAGAACTCCGCATAGGTGATCGTCGCGGGGTCTATTCTCCTCCATTCGGCGTTGGCCCACTCCAACGCCTTGCCGGTGAGACAGGAGATGAGGGCGGAAACGCTCTCGTGTCCCGAGGGCACCGGGTGTACGGTGGCGAGGTTGAGTTCTACTTGTAGGAGGAAACCTTGACACCCGGCAGCGGTACTGTCATACGCCCTCGGGAGCGAGAGCCGAATCCCACTGGGTTCCGGAGCGTGGACTAAGGGACTGACCGGTGCTGGTGGTACTGTGGGAGGAGGCGTGGGTGCCCAACTGGTCTCCAGGCGATGCAGGGTATTCATTACTCCTTGTAATGCGTTGGTGATCTGGGCTATCCTGTCATCCTGTCCGCGGACGCGCTCCTCCCATGACTCGGTCGCTGCTGCTCCTGCTGATTCCATGAATGGTGTGTAGTTCTGTCAAGGATGGGCGTAGGTGTGGTGTGGAATCAATTGCAGGATGCAGATGCAAGTCCAAAAACACTTTAATGAAGTCCACAGAAATAACAGCTACAAACCGAGCCGGTTGAACAAGGAAAAAATAAATGCACTCAGCGTAAAAGTACAACAAACGCACAACGTGCGGACTCTCTAATAACATAGAGCACAAACTGACTGGCAACACCTGCTGACATGGAACAACTACACACAACCACAAGACAGAAACAACGAGAACTTAAAGGACACATAATCAAGACGAAATGAGCAACAGGTGTAACAAATCAGACCAAACCAAACACACACAGAAACAACGAACGGTGGCAGCTAGTACTCCGGGGACGACGACCGCCGAAGCCTGCCCGAACAAGGAGAAGGAGCAGCCTCGGCCGAAACCGTGACAGATTCAGTATGTGAAGATGGAACTTGGCATATTAACTGTTCTCCAAAACATGAAGCCCCAAGTTACCATATCTCACACTGTGCTGTACTTCCCACCAATCCAAGGAGCAGACGGCTGTCGGACCACGCCCCAATGCTACCCAGGAAGACCAGCAGGGAGACGATGATGCCCACCACTATGAGGAGGATGGAGGTGTGAGACAGGCCCTGGGACATGTGGGTGAAAGACTCCACTTCAGTGTAGGTGGGACATAAACACATGCCATATAATCACAGGTTAGTCAAATAACTGTCGTTTTCTCAATACAACCTTTAAACCTTTTTAAAGGTGCACTCTAGAGCAATTGGAGTCAGTCAGGCACATATGAGTCAGCGGTCTAAATACCAGAGCACCTGCCCAAATGTGTTCTATGAAAGTGCCCCTGGAGTGATCAGGACAGGTAATGGTGTATATTTGAGGACATTGTGCATGTAAGAGGGGAATGTATGACTTACCCAGAATAGAGTGTTTAGGAAGATAAAGATGAACTTAATGCAGGAGAAAATCATTCTTCAGAAATATTTTGTTCCAAACTGAAAAGTATACAGACATTTTGAAGTCAACATTCAATATTTCTCATTTCATAGTCACTTCTCTACTTTTGTATTACTTCTACAACTTTGCCTCTACCTACTTACCATTTGTTTTGTATTAATAGGCTAAAGAAAATATCAGTTAGGGTAGGTACACCGGAACATTTTGTATTTCATTGAGAGTTTTGACATATATGCATGCCAGTATAGATCTAACACACCAAAACCACGAGACTCACCTGAAATGTGTGCAAACACCTGGAATTATTTAATAGGTGGCACAATTAACATGACATTTCTGTAGCTTCAAATGTCTATATTACTTGTCAGAGAGAGAGAGAGAGAGAGAGAGAGAGAGAGAGAGAGAGAGAGAGAGAGAGAGAGAGAGAGAGAGAGAGAGAGAGAGAGAGAGAGAGAAGAAAGACAGAGAGAGAGAGAGAGAGATGCAAAATAAGTTATTTGGATAAAGCAAGCAGACTGCATCAGCTAGGCCTATCCTTGGAATGATTCGGTTGACATAATCACTACAATGAACTGTAAAACTGGATATGATGGGTGTAATTTCGTGACACTGTTACATGTCAGAGAGAGCGCTGAGTCTCGAGACGTTGATCTAATTGAATTAAATAGAAACAGAAATAAAAGAGAACTAGGAGGGTATTCACGATTGTTCTCCTCTGTCTCGTTTTATTTCGGACTGTTATTTCTGACGGATTGTTTTTGTCAACAGTCCGTGATGTCCTATCGAAACAAATTGTTTAGGCCGGGTAAAGTTGCCCCTAGACGTTGATCTTGGGCCAGTTTCGCATTTCCCCTACTAATGGTTAATGTTAGGATTGGTAAAGGGGAAGCTGTTGATCCTACAGCAACGATGTAGCCTATTGAGCGATGCAAAGAGCTTTTAAACAGTTTCACCAGGCACCAAGTCGGACTCAGAACTGCAGAAAATAGCAGTAAGAGATACGGTGCGTCATTGTTGCTACTTAGGTCACAGTTGTTGCGCGTCATATTCCCCACATATTCACTTGGAAATTCCATCCTTTGTACATTTGGTACAGGGTGGAATTCGGGATCAGAGGCCCTGCCACCGCTGGTGCCGGAGGCTCGGTTCTTTTTCCATCTCTGGCCTATGGCGTATTGGTGATTATGCTCTTTTAAGAGGTTTGTTAAAGCTATGCATTGTATAACAATAATCCCCCTTGTTCCACAATAGCATATTCGTTTACCAATTCCAAACATGTTTTCAAAGTATTCTTTTGGGAAATTCAGGAATTTGTTTGGTAGTGGTATTGGGTTATGTGAGATTTTAAATGAGAGCACCACCTGAAGCCTTCTTAGTAGTTTAGTAAAGGCCTATCACTTTTTAGTTCAGCCCTCAGAGGCAGGTGCAGCTCAACTATTTTCCTACCAAGCAGTCATATCATCAAACAATGGAGGAAGATTGGAGCTGGAAAGAGGCAAGTCAAGTCACATACACCTGTAGGGCATGATATATCACAAAGCTATGTTATAAGGTTACATTCACATTATGTTTTCTACATCTTTGTACATAATATCTCAATACCTTATTCTGGGATGGGTCTTACATTTACCTCTATCACCCCTCCCCCTCAGCTATATTGATATATCAATGAGTGTTGTATGTTTGGGTATGTTTACCAGTGGGGGAAAAGTACCCAATTGTCATATTTGAGTTAAAGTAAAGATACCTTAATAGAAAATGACTCAAGTAAAAGTCACCCAATAAAATACTACTTGAGTAAAAGTATTTGGTTTTATATATACTTAAGTATCAAAAGTAAATGTAATAGCTAAATTATTCTTAAGTATCAAAAGTAAAAGTATAAATTGTTTCAAAATCCTTATATTAAGCAAACCAGATGGCACCATTGTTTTATTATTATTTTTATTTGTTTTACTGATAGCCAGAGTCACACTCCAACACTCAGACATAATTTACAAACAAAGCATGTGTTTAGCGAGTCCCCCAGGTCAGAGGCACTAGGGATGACCAGGGATGTTCTCTTGATAAGTGTGTGAATTTGACAATTTTCCTGTCCCGCTAAGCATTCAAAATGTAACAAGTACTTTTGGGTGTCAGTGAAAATGTATGGAGTAAAAAGTACATTATTTTCTTTAGGAATGTAGTGAAGTAAAAGTAAAAGTTGTCAAAAATATAAATAGTAAAGTACAGCTACCCCAAAAAACGACTGAAGTAGTACTTTCAAGTATTTTTACTTAAGTACTTTACACCACTGATGCTAGTGACATTTATTGGAGTGTTTTGTTCTCTCAGGAGGCCCAGAAGAAGGTGTCAAGGTTCCTGGTGAAGCTGAAGCTGAAGAGTCATTCTAGGAGCTCTGATGACAGGTCCCGTTTGGCTTCAGAGCGAGCTAACGCTGAAGTCCGCCAGTGGGCAGTCATGCAGCCTTCGGCAGAGGGCAAAGCTCACCACAGCTCGCAGGGAACTATCCATAATAACTCACCGCAGCGCTCCCCACCCACCGGCACCAATAAGAGTTGCAGAGGGGCAGAGGGATCTACGTCCCCAGAAAACACTGACAGCGGCAGGAAGAAGATCAGGTTCCCACTCCTCTTCACCAAGACAGCCGTGGCTGTGACCACCACCAACCCCCTTGTCACTCAGAATGACCGGCCCAGCGTGAAGCTTTCTGCCAAGATAGAGAAGGCACGTAAGATGGGGAGGGGGGCCAGTATCCCAGAGGAGATTGGTGCTGGAGCTAAGATCATGCAGAAGACCTTACCGGCCATATCCAAGTTCAGCTGGTCACTGCCCAGTCCAAGTGAAGGAGATGACAAAGTCCAGGGCAAAGTCAAAGACTTCTGCAAGACCAAACTAGGTAAACAGGAAGAAGATAACATCCCGCCAATAGCCAAAGAACCCAGGAGGAAAGGGTCCTTCCATGGAGCAGAGCAAGGCAGAGGCAGGGACTACAGCAGGAGGAGGGCGCCCCTCTCCTACGACATCCAGCACAGACTCAACCAAGCCATGACAGATTCAGACAGACTCAAACCTAGAGAGGTCACCAAGAGAAGCAGAACCATCCAATGTGAGAATCTCCAGCAAAGGCCCAACCGACAGATGCCAGAGTTGGAGCGATTCAAACCCAGGGATATCACCAAGAGGAGGGGCATCATTCACTGTGATGAGCTGCACCAAAGGCCCAACCAGCCAATGCCAGAGCCAGATAAAGCCTCCCTGGTTAAACTCCCAGCGATTCCACGGCAGAGGGGCTCCATCTCATATGAGAAGTACCAGAAGCTGAACCAGAAGATGCCAGTCAGCACCATCAACACATCATCACTGTCAGTACCTACCCTCTGCTCCGTACTCACCATTCATACCTCATACCTATTATATTTTCTATTCCCCACAACTGTCACTGTTATTCCCGAACACCACTATCTGCTTGTGCCTGTTTGCTTGTAGGGGAATTATTCGTATTGAAGACCTGGCAACTATGGTGCCTGACGAACCCCTGATCGATGCCCAGTCTGATGGTAAGTAGCATGCATACTGTTAGCCTGTCTTATATTGTCAACTAATACTACAAATACTACCTACGAATACAAAATCTATTTTTTTTATTAATGATGATCTTCTATTGTACATGTATTTTAAAGTGATGTTCCTATGTTATGTGCAACAATCATCTATTGTATTTTCTACCCCATGTAGCCTTCAAAGAAGTCTTTGAGCAGTTTGCGAAGAACAGTGATGGCTCTATCAATGAGGAGGGCCTGGCATCCACGCTGGACAGAGTGGGGATCAGTATCAGTCCAGAGGAGGTGAAGAAAGCCCTGCAGATGGCTGACTACGACAGTATGTTTCTGCCTCAGTATCTGGAATTACACCCAAATATAATAATGTGCTTTCCATTATAAACATGTTAGAACAGAATACATAAAAATCGTTGTGTCCCAAATGGCCCCTTGTTCCCTATATAGTGCACAACTTTTGTACCCATATAGGGCTCTGGTCAAAAGTAGTGCACTATAGGGAGCCATTTGGGGTGCAACCATACACATTCCCTTAGTTGACATGAGTTGACAGGCTGGCTGACTGGCTGTTTTTGTTTCTTGGCTTCAGAGGATGGCGAGGTGGGGTTAGAAGATTTCCTGCATGTGATGGAGGACAGCCAGCACTTCTCCAAGTGTGTGAAAGGTGAAGATCCCCGACTAAGATTTTGCCTTCACTAAACATATCTGGATTCAAATATAAATATGAACATATGACTCACAGAGCTGCCATAGCGTTTGTGAGACTGTATTAAGATGGTACTTACTTTCCGTTCTCTCACCCTCACACTCCCTCTCTTTACCTCTCTCTCACTCCATTCTTTCCCTCTTTCTCTCTGAGCTGAAGGAGCGGACCCATCCCAGTCTGTTAAGGTGTGTGAGACAGTGTTTTACAAGGCCCTGACCAAGATGATGGCTGCTGGTATCCTGTCCAGTGGTACTACAAGAGAAATAGTACAGTAAGCCATTCGAAGTCATTCTACTTTCTTTTCGCATATGAATAGCCGACCAACATCATGTGAAGTGTACATGAGTGTGTACTAACTGTATGTCATCAAAGATTATGTAAGGTTATCAAGATAATTTTCATGGAAAAACAGCATCTTAAGAATTTTCAGTAAAAGTTCTCTGTTTAAACAGAAATAATACATTCTTGTGGTCAGCTGTGTCAGCCATATTTGACTGTCCCCTACCTCTGACCAGGTACTACCATAAAAAGACTCTGAGGCTGATCCGGCTGGCTGTACGACCAGATGGGGATGTTCTCACCTACTACACCAAGGGAGCTCATCTGCTAGGGCTGAAGAGCAAGCAGCTCCTCAAGTACATCCAGCCAGTGGGTGAGCAAACATATGATAACACCCAGCACATACAGTACTCCTTTCTCCCTCCTCCCTCCTCCCTATATTCATATTGAACTGCTTTAGCTTTCATACTCTCCTAGTCAAATCTACTGTATATTGATTGGCAGAGGAGTGATGAGGGACTGTTGTTGTTTTGATGTGCAGAGACAATTGCCCAGAGCCAGAAGGAGAAGGACAGCCCGTACCTGAGGCGTCCCAGCCTGAACTTGACCTACACCTCCTGGGACCCCCGATGCATGTCCCTGAACCCTGCACAGAAGTCTGTCAAGACCTGGAAGACCGTTGAGATCGAGGATCGCATCAGACAAGTAATTTTCGAAAACATTTTCACATATTGAATTATGTGAGAAATATAGAAAGGCAGCGAAAATATGTTGCTAATCTTCTTGTATTTGTACCAGCTGTCAATCAAGCACCCTGGGATGGAAAAAATGGAGATGATCACACCTGTGAAGATGAAGGTGAACATGTCCATGAAGGAGAGGGACCACCTCACTTACAATGAGATCAACCAGATCACACAGAAGGTAAGACGGGATGTGAACTGAATGTATGACGATATTGATGCAGTCAGTCTCACATTTAAGTTATCTCTGTCTCTCTGTCTCTCTCTCTCTGTCTCTCTCTGTCTGTCCAGTCTAAATCAGGTCTGAAGGGGTACCTGAAGGACCTGACCCAGCTGAAGCGCAGGGACATGTGGAACTCTTGGGGCTCCCTTCAGTGTTACTGTGTCCTCCACAGCCGGAAGGACTTCCCCAAAACCTTCACCACCTACTCCTGGTCCTGGAGCGGCTGTTGCAACATGATGGAGACTGGAGACCTGGACGCTCCCTGTAGGTCCACCCTACGCCCCCGTATAGCCAACCACTGGAACCCATCGTCAGGAAGCAGCACACCTCGTCCAATCATGGCGGCCAAAAAGAGAAGACCCCGGCGGCGACCCCCGCTGACAGGAAGAGCAGTACCCTGTAGAAAAGAGGAATAACACCAATAGCAATCATAACAATATTGATATGATCAATTACTCTAACCACAAAGATCCCACCCCCCACTTCCTCTGACCACAGTATCCACTCCCCCACCCCACCCCTCCTGATCCCAGTCCCTATGATGACTTCGACCTGAGCAACTATAGCTATGAGTGCAACAACCCCCCACGCTATGTGTACAAACAGGACCGGCCCCCTAGCTGATCTGTTGCCCTGGCCCTAAATGACATTAGCCCCACCCTGAGGCCCATGAGAGAGGGAGGAATGGAGGAGAGGACATGCAGTGTCTCCCTGCTCAGCAGAAATAAACCCATCATCTCTGAATAAATAGGAGAATGAGTCAAACAAGTGTCAATGGTTTGTTTTTCGGTCTGCTAAACATGGGAAAACTGCACCATGCAAAGGTGAGGAGGAGTAGGGATAGATAGGGAGGGATCTGGGGTCGATGTGCATGAAACCATGAAGGTAACTGAAAGAGTGATATGGACAGGGGGAAGTGGCTGTGCTTTAGGTGTCCAATGTGAATAGCAAGATAATGGGTTAAGAAAATATGGTTCAGAGCTAAAAATAGATAAATAGATAAATCTTTTTCTCCAAATAAATATATAATTGTTTGGAAATCTAAAACTAGGCAAGGCTGGCCTGTGTCTTTCTCTGGATGTCATGGGGAAAGAGAGAGGGCCCCCTGGTGCCTTTGACTGGTTCCTAAAGGATTATTGTTGTTTGACTGAGACAGCCTCTTCAGATGGTTTACCACAAGGTGGTGCCAGTGTATCAGCCCATATTGTCTGGTTCATTCACATCACTTCCTCTGATAAGCTCATTGACTTGATAATGACTTTCATTTTTCTCTGTCTTGTTATAAAGAAGATATACATTTTAGGTCTAATGAATCTACCCTTTAGTATAGTAGCTTATTACTGTTGATATGAAGTAATAATATACTGTAGTAGTACTCAAAACTCTTTAAAATGTTACGCTTCATCAAACTCCTGTTGACAGATCTGTCAATATCTAACATCCCTTGTTTGTAACATGATCTTAATGTTGTTAATGATGTTCACACCAGGCTATTGACTTCTGAAACCACTTCCTTATCCTCACCAGATGTTATTTCCACAGAGGAAACGTATATTGATGTGTTGTTCACTAATCAGAGGTGAAGTCCAAGCAACAGCAGCCTTGTGTCGGGCTTCCACCTATTCATCTGTTCTTTCTCAGCTTTCATTATTGCACTCTGTATCTGAGAATGCAGGAAGGTTTCAGATCTTTAGTATTATTCGGTTTCTCTAATTTTCAGTTCTCAGTTCTCTCTCTGTACCTATTTAGTTAACTCATTTTCCTTTTGTGGGTGTTCCTTGACTTAGTAAATGGAGACAACATATATCAGGTACACATTTCCAAAAATGTGAAAATACCAGATTCTTACCCTCAGCTGCGTATCTGGCATCTCTCTTTAGAGATGTTCCTTTCAAAGTGACTGAAAGCAGCACCAGCTGCATGTTTATCTCCAGCCACATCTAGATGATGTTTAGACTGAGGAGACACTCAGCCCCCACAGGAGAGATATAAAGGCCATTTAGACTTATCACTGGAACTGTACATTTAGATAGCGTGAACGTTAAGAACCTGCATGCCAGGTGGGTGAGAGAGAGTAGGACTCACTAAGGACAGACATAACAAATGTAAACCATTTAAAAGTAATTAGATCAATTGGTGTCATTGGTGCTGTAAAGTTTATATTGTCTGTATGGATGTGGCTCCTCCCATGAATTACCCAGGAGCCTCTCTGTCCTGTGTCGTTAGAGGCTCCCGCTGATGAATGAAGCATTATCACCCTCTGTTCTCATAACGAGCTGCTTACAGCATGACTTGCCAAATGTTTATCCAACTCTGTACTGTATGCTATCCATCTATCAACACTGCACTGATTCAAACTCCTGTGTAGGCTTTTGTTAGGGAGCCCAATTTTGTTAGGGAGTACAAATAGTGTTTTTTGTGTGGATTCTGTCCTGCATAATAGGGCCTATATGAGTGGTCCTGTGTAGTAGCAAAAAAAAGCGTATAAATCTGATGCCAAATTAGACGTGTGGATGTGTGCACGGTCTACTCTGTGTGTGTCTGTGTGCGTTTGGCCTCACACTGAGTGTGTTGTAGCTGTGTTGTGGTTGGAGGAGGTAAAAAGTTTAGACAAGAGGTTATTTTATGGATTTATCAAAGAGCCCATATTACCTAGTCACACTCTGGAATCTGCCTGCAACCTGGACTCAGGTGTAGACGTAACATAGTAAACTAAAATCCAGACACCGAAATTAATATGATATGTTACGTTTGGTATGTTATGTATTAATTTGTGGATGTCCATCATCCATTTCGTATGATATGTTACAAATCACAATTCATATTATATGTTACAAATTGCAATTCATACAATATGTTCAGAATATGCAATACGTATGATATGTTATGAATTCCAATTAATTGTGGCTAATGTTAGCTAGGTGGCTAGGTGGCTTACGCTAACGTTAGCTAGGTTACGGCTTAGGGTTAAGGTTAGGAGTTAGGTTAAAGGTTAGGGGAAGGGTTAGCTAACATGCTATGTAGTTGCAAAGTAGCTATAAACTAGTAAGTAGTTGCAAAGTTGCTAATTAGCTAAAATGCTAATGTTGTCCGTGATGAGATTCAAACACGCAACCTTTGGGTTGCTAGACATTAGCGTTATACGCCAACACATCCACCCCGACCAACCACCCTCCTTTCATTTTTGCCTTAAGCAACCTTCTGTCTTATGTAGCCACACCAAATGTAACAAATCATACTAATTTTAGTGTTACAGATTTTCCTTTACTATGTTACATCTAGTGTATTAGACCAGCCTGGGAATATTTACTGTCCTTCTAGTAATGCATCTCAGCTTCATTCTCAAATTGGCTTGTGAAATAAAACGACAGACTGCCTCATCTATGAGGACTGAGGACACAGTGTTGCATAATGCCATTCACATTCATCTTGTAAGTCTTAAGTCTAAGTCCTAGTGGATCCCACTAGAAGGGATTCTAGGGATTCCTCCCTGCCTGTACACAGGGTCTGTTTTTACTATAGTGCTGTCATTCTAGTAGAAATGTGATGGTTAACAGAGTAGAGTTTAGCATGCACCTCCTAGCAGCGCATCTTGAAACATGCAGACCATCCATAGTCTTTGCTTTATTTCAGTTACTGTACCAATGGGTTGTTGCAATATGACATGTATTGCAAGTGGTGTAATTCCAATTTTGTCTTGGGTTGTCAAAGTGTAATCTAGCAAGAATGTACTTATATCACAATATCGTAGCTAAACAGCACCTCCTCACAATGTCCCCTCTCTCTCTCTATCAAATGTGTTTGCTTTGGTAATTCTTATCCCAGATTCTACAGAAACCCAAACAGCCCATCTCATCATAGACCTTGAACATGGCAATCTTTCTGTGTGGTTAATGATGTGGAATTTGGGAGGGCAGGAGCAGGCAGGGGAAGAGAGGGGATCAGAGTGATATTGAGTGAATGATCTACTACAGTATCACTGCATAATGGTATTTGAAATTAGGGCAGGGAAACACAAATGCTCTGTGTGTGAGAGGGATGCAGAAGCATTAAGGAAGGTATTAAGCAACTATCAGTAAAGGTATCAACAGTTCTGGGAACAGTTTCAATAACTATGCTAGACAACCATCTGTTGTATTTGTTGTTGCCAGTGCAGTACACAAGACTGCAATACAAGACTTACTGTCGTCAGGTTGACATATTGTAGTGTAGTTTACTGGCTTACTGTGCTGCGTGAGAGAACTGACTAGACCTAGATCTACATAGGTCATATTACTATTACCAGGGATGCTCATAGTAATACTGTCTGCATAGTGAGGCTTCTTCTCTACTGAGCCATGAGGAAAGGGAACGCACCCAGAGAGCTGCTGGTTGCTTTAGTAGCAGCCGTTTGTTCTAGCCCCTGTGTTACCATGGACACGACTCAATGTGGAGAGATTTATAGTGGCTGTCCCTCTGGGGTTTATATTTTGTTATAGGGGCGAGGCTGTTGTGTTTAATGCTCTCACCTACCGGTGTGAAATTATACATACAGTACCAGTCAAAAGTTTGGACACACCTACTCATTCAAGGGTTTTTCTTTATTTTTACTATTATTCTACATTGTAGATGTCACGCCCTGGCTCTGGGACTCTGTTATGTTGAGCCAGGGTGTGTTGTTTCTATGTGTTTTGGGTGCTAGGGTTATTACCTAGTTCATTTGTTTCCATGTTGGCCGGTGTGGTTCTCAATCAGAGTCAACGTGTATCAGCTGTTGCTTGTTGTCTCTGATTGGGAACCATACTTAGGCAGCCTGTTTTCCACAGTGTGTTGTGGGATCTTGTTCCGTTTGGTTTGTATTGTAACCGTAGGACTTCACGTTTCGTATCGTTTGTTGTTTTGTTTCGTGTGGTGAAAATAAAAGTATGTTCGCATTCCACGCTGCGCCTTGGTCCTCTGTGTATGACGATCGTGACAGAAGATCCCACCATAACTGGACCAAGCAGCGTGTCCAGGAGCCAACGCCAGAGGTGACTCTGATGAATATCAACCTCGACTGGGTCAAGCAGCGTGAGGAGGAGAGAGGCTGGACTTTGGAGCAGAGGAGCGAGAGTCTGGCGAGAGCCATGGAGGCCTGGCCCACGGGGAGGAGAGACGCCCAGACATTTTTTAGGGGGGGGCTCACGCCGTGGAAGACGGGGCAGCAGGAGGCCGGAATAGAGTGGTTCAGCGGGTTGGCAAAGGAGGCCGCCAGGTTACGGGAGTCACTGGTCACCAGGGGGAAGGAGAATGTAGAGGCACGGCGAGAGGTACTGGGGCCCGTTCCAGTCCGGTCCGGCCCGTTCCTGATTCCCGCGTAGGGCCAGTGGTGTGTGTCCCCAGTACGGTCCGGCTTGTTCCTGTCCCTCGCACCGAGCCTGTGGTGCGCGTCGCCAGCCCGGTCCGGCGTGTTCCTGCCCCTCGCACCAAGCCAGTGCTGCGCTTTGTCAGCCCGGTTCGGCCCGTCCCTGCTCCCCGCACCAAGCCTGTGGTGCGCGTCGTCAGTCCGGCACAGCCCGTGCCTGTTCCACCGGTGCCTGGTCCGGCACCGGTCAGCTGCTCCACTCCGGAGCTAGAGCAATCCGCTCCACCAGTGTTCAATCCAGCTCCGGCCAGCAGGGCCAGACCGGACCAGGGGCGCTTTGGGGGGTTTGTTGGAGGGTGGGAGTCAAGCCCGGAGCCGGAACCGCCTCCGAGGAGGAATGCCCACCTGGCCCTCCCCTGTTCGGTTTATGTTTGGCGCGGTCGCAGTCCGCGCCTTTGGGGGGGGGGGGGGTACTGTCACGCCCTGGCTCTGGGACTCTGTTATGTTGAGCCAGGGTGTGTTGTTTCTATGTGTTTTGGGTGCTAGGGTTATTATCTAGTTCATTTGTTTCCATGTTGGCCGGTGTGGTTCTCAATCAGAGGCAACGTGTATCAGCTGTTGCTTGTTGTCTCTGATTGGGAACCATACTTAGGCAGCCTGTTTTCCACAGTGTGTTGTGGGATCTTGTTCCGTTTGGTTTGTATTGTAACCGTAGGACTTCACGTTTCGTATCGTTTGTTGTTTTGTTTCGTGTGGTGAAAATAAAAGTATGTTCGCATTCCACGCTGCGCCTTGGTCCTCTGTGTATGACGATCGTGACAGTAGAATAATAGTAAAGACATCAAAACTATGAAATAACACATATAGAATCATGTAGTAACCAAAAAAGTGTTAAACAAATCAAAATATATTTGAGATTCTTCAAAGTAGACACCCTTTGCCTTGATGACAGCTTTGCACACTCTTGGCATTCTCTCAATCAGCTTCATGAGGAATGATTTTCCAACAGTCTTGAAGGAGTTCCCACATATGCTCAGCACTTGTTGCCTGCTTTTCCTTCACTCTGCAGTCCGACTCATCCCAAACCATCTCAATTGGGTTGAGGTCAGGTGATTGTGGAGGTCAGGTCATCTGATGCAGCACTCCATCACTCTCCTTCTTGGTCAAATAGCCCTTACACAGCCTGGAGGTGTGTTTTGGGTCATTGTTCTGTTGAAAAACAAATGATAGTCCCACTAAGCGCAAACCAGATGGGATGGCGTATCGCTGCAGAATGCTGTGGTAGCCATGCTGGTTAAGTGTGCCTTGAATTCTAAATAAATCACTGACAGTGTCACCAGCAAAGCACCCCCACACCATCTCCTCCATGCTTCACGGTGGGAACCACACATGCGGAGATCATCCGTTCACCTACTCTGCGTCTCACAAAGACACGGCGGTTGGAACCTAAAATCTCAAATTTGGACTCATCAGGCCAAAGGACAGATTTCCACTGGTCTAATATCCATTGCTCGTGTTTCTTGGCCCAAGCAAGTCTCTTCTTCTTATTGGTGTCCTTTAGTAGTGGTTTCTTTGCAGCAATTCGACCCTGAAGGCCTGATTCACGCAGCCTCCTCTGAACAGTTGATGTTGAGATGTGTCTGTTACTTGAACTCTGTGAAGCATTTATTTGGGCTGCAATCTGAGGTGCAGTTAAAGCTAATGAACTTATCCTCTGCAGCAGAGGTAACTCTGGGTCTTCCATTCCTGTGGCGGTCCTCATGACAGCCAGTTTCATCATAGCGCTCGATGGGTTTTGTGACTGCACTTGAAGAAACCTTCAAAGTTCTTGACATTTTCCGGCTTGACTGACCTTCATGTCCTAAAATAATGATGGACTGTTGTTTGTCTTTGTTTTTTTTAGCTGTTCTTGCCATAATATGGACTTGGTCTTTTACCAAATAGGGCTATCTTCTGTATACACCATACCTTGTCACAACACAACTGATTGGCTAACACATTAAGAAGGAAAGAAATTCCACAATTTAACTTTTAATAAGGCACACCAGTCAATTGAAATGCATTCCAGGTGACTACCTCATGAAGCTGGTTGAGAGAATGCCAAGAGTGTGCAAAGCTGTCATCAAGGCAAAGGGTGGCTACTTTGAAGAATCTCAAATATAAAATATATTTTGATTTAACACGTTTTTGGTTACTACATGATTCCATATGTGTTATTTCATAGTTTTGATGTCTTCACTATTATTCTACAATGTAGAATAATAGTAAAAATAAAGAAAAACCATGGAATGAGTAGGTGTGTCCAAACCTTTGACTGGTACTGTACGTAACAGAGATGTCACACACATCCACATTTCAGTCACTACACTGATAAGTGAGCACTCAAACAGTAAGACAGGTGAATGTGAGTAAATCAAACACTTGACAAAGCGACCTTTAGCTGTGTGTGTGTATGTGTGTGAATAATCTCTCTCTTTCTGTAGGTGTGTGTTTCTATTGGCTGTGTGAGAAGGGGACAGAGAGATACACAGACACACTGATAGGGACAAAGTGAAAGGGAAGAAGAGATAGAGAGAGGGGTTTGAGGGAGGAGACTAACTAAGACTAAACTATGAGTTGGCTGTGAGTATGAAAAAGCAGCAGTGAGAGAGAGAGGGAGAGGAAGCTTGATAAGCGGCTTGGGAAATGACTGTTGATGTTTGTGTGTTGTATGCAGAGACATTGTGGTGCCGGACATGAGCAGTGACAGCAGCTCCAAGAAGCGTTATGTATCAACCCTCAGGATGTACATCGGACCCACCAACACTTCCCCTGGGCAGGGAAAAAACGTCTTGGCAGCCAGGACCACTTCTGCTACTGTCACTAGGACTGGGATAGACACAGTCTCTGGTACAGGTAAGAGACAGCCATAGCGTGTGTGTGTTCAGTCTGTGTGCATGTTCAGTGTGTGTGCGTGTTCAGTGTGTGTGTGTGTGTTCAGTGTTAATGCGTGCGTGCGTGTGTGTAATGTATGTGGTGGTGGTGGGGGTGGGGGGGGGGGGGGTCTAGGAGTGTAACTATTGGCATTACTGTCTAGTTGTTCGGGTCAACATTGTAATAAACAAGTTAGAACAGACGTTTATCTCAGAGATTGCACAGCTGAATGAACCCTAACCACACACCATGACTTTCATTTTCAGACAGCTTGTTTTACATGACAATGATTTTTATTAGTTTTGTTTCTGCTTACCAGGTTGATATTGCAGATGTTAACATCTTCTATTGTGTTTGGACTCTGTACTTCTTGAGTACTGGCTTTTGTTTTGTCGTTGTTTATAGTTACAGTGCAGAACTTCCACTGCTATCCACCTAACAAAATGTTTGAACATGTATGTATTGAGATGTATTATGTGTACTTCCTTATACGTGCACCATCAAAGCGCATAGCATGTACAGTATTTAATGTATTTTCTGATTTTCCTAATTAGCATTGGCTTCATGCCCATTACCTGAGAAGTGAAGGGTGCAGGAATCTACATGCTCAGTTGTTTGTGAGTGCATTTAAAGGCCATGCTGTTAACGGTTCTCGTTTTGAACAACCTGAGGGAGGGGTTTGGAGAAAAAACATGAGTCCCCCCGCCCTCAGCCTCCTTTATACATGTTTTGTGATTGTGTTTCTCTCAGAGTGTAGTATCCTAAAAACCTGTGATGGTGTATGACATTACTGTGACAGTTCCATCCACACTTGAAAGTAAAAGAGGCGTATAAGCAGAGTGCAAATTATATCGTTACATTCGGGGGGCTCAATTATTTATTACATTCATTGATGATGTGATAATCACAGCTAAGTCAGTTCTAGAAGGCAGATGGATTTTGGAGGATCTGGAAGAGCTCACCAAATGGGCCAGAATGGAGTTCAAGCCTGAAAAAGGGAAGTGTCCAGAAACGGTACCAATTCAAGATTGGAGAGGAGACCATTCCCCACCGTCAGGATGGGTATGGTCCTGGGGAAGTGGTAAAGTTCTCTGGTCTAGAGGCACCAAGGTGGTCCACCTCGAGCCTGGGGAAGTGGTACAGGGCTGAGCTCAATGACAAAGAGAGTGTGAAGGAGATGCTCTTGCAAGCCGACACGTGGATGACATCTCTGAAGAAGAGCGGCCTACCAGGCAAGTTTAAGGCATGTGGCTACCAACACAGGGTACTTCCCAGACTCCTCTGGCCACTGCTTGTCTATGAGTTACCTCTTTTAACAGTGGATGCACTAGATAGGAAAATTAACAACTTCCTCAGGAGATGGCTGGCGGTCCCAAGAAACTTCTCCTCCATCTTCCTGTACAGCACAGACAGCAAGCTGCAGCTGCCATTTTTGGTAGAGGAGTACAAGGCAACAAAAGCACGTCAGGCTATGATGCTGCGGGACAGCAAGGATGAGAGGGTTCGCCAGGCAGAGATTGAGGTCAAAACAGGTCGCAAGTGGTCAGCTAGCAGAGCGCTCACGGAGGCGGAGGAACGGCTGCAACACGCTGACATCGTTGGGTCGGTAAACCAAGGCAGGCTGGGTCTGGGATGCACAACCAGGCCAAGCTGGAAGAAAGCAGGTCCAGAGGAGCTTCGTGGCATGGTGCAGAGGGCGGTCCGAAAGGCTAAGGAAGAAAGCAGGTATGTCAGAGCTGTAGCCAGGAAAGAAACAGGGCAGCTGGACATGCGTGCGAGAGAGGGCACTCACCTGGCAAGACATCTGGAATATGGAAGGGCAGCGGATTACGTTTCTGCTTCTCTCTGTGTATGATGTGTTGCCCACACCAACAAACCTCCACACATGGGGGTTGGCAGAGAGCCCCACCTGCACACTATGTGGATGACCAGCCAACCTGGAGCACATTTCCTCTTGACAAGCAGGTCTGACCGATGAAAAATTCAGGTGGCGACCAAATACTTACTCAGGACTGGCCACGGGACTGGAGCAAGCAAGGAGAAAGCCAAAACATCTCACTCAGGGCACCTGTTTCATCCACTTCCTGTTTCAGGAGAGAGCGCAGCAAAGGGAACAAGGACCAAAGGGATCCTTGCCACAGCAGGTGACTGGAAGATGTGGGCCAACTTCAAGAAGCAGCTCCAATTCCCAGAGATGATAGCCAGCACAAGCCTCAGACCAGATATTGTTCTCTGGTCTACAGGCACCAAGCATGTGGTCCTCATCGAGCTCACAGTGCCCTGGGAGGAGAGGATAGAGGAGGCACATGAGCGGAAGCTTGAGAAATACCAGTCCCTCATCATTGAGTCAGCAGAATTGATGGAGAGTCTGGAATCTACCAGTTGAGGTCGGCTGCAGGGGCTTCGCAGGCCAATCACTCTGGAGAGCCCTGGGGCTGCTCAGCATGGAAGGAGTGGCAAGGAAGAAGCTAGTGGCTGACGTCAGCAAGCAGGCAGAAGTGGAATCCCGTTGGATCTGGCTGAAGATTAATACCAGGGATCAATGGTAAGATGGAAATCAAGATGAAAGTTAGGTTGTTGTCAATCAATATGTATTGTTGCATAACACATGGCAATGCACAGAACGGATTTACAGTTCAGATACTGTGAGATGTTTTAGTGCCGAGATGTTGGCTGTGTGCTACTGCTGTCTTTATACTAATTTGGTGGTCTGTTGGAGAAACACAGAGGAAGTGTTTCAGTGTTTTGGTTGCAGTTGTTTTTGTTCAGGCTTATTTTCCCAATATACTGTACATGTGTGGGTTTGGGCTATTTGTGTCTGTGTTGTAGACAATGTAGTAGGTGTGAAGGCATGCTGGAGTCTTTCCTGTAACAGGCAGAGCTGATAAATACACTTCTAGATGAGAGATGTGGTTAGCACATTAGAGCAGAGGAAGAACAGAAACACAAAAGCAGTGATGAGGAAACGTTGTCAGTAATGCAAGATGACAGGCCTGGCTGAACACCCCGCTGTTAGTGCCGGCAAGCTGACCAAAAGTATTTTAGCAGCTGTTTTCCTCCTGTGTGAGAAAACAGAGTGGTCAAATTCCACCCAAATTAGTAGGTCTATCGGTATCCAAAAACGAAGTGCTGAGTGTTGATTGATTAATTTCAGAGCACATGCACAAAGACGTTACATGTACATGTGGTTGTTTCACATGCCAGAGCAACACAGCTATAGGAGCCTGCTTATCAGGCTGTCATAGACCAGATGGCCTGCTGTATGAATTTCAAATGTGCTTATGATACTCTCTGTCCCTGTCTCTCACCCCCTTGTCGCCGGGCCCTGCACCATCTCATCCAGGGGACAGCTGCCCCACACCAACCCCCCTCAGAGGTCTGGATCCACCCCTGTTCACAGAGCCATTGGAGGACTGCTCGGTGGATGAAGGAAGTGACATCACACTCCGAGGGGTTATCACAGGAAGTCAGCCGATCAGTGTGTCCTGGCTGCACAATGGTGAGCTGAGAACAGGCCTTATTCTCCATGTCCTGCACAGAGTTTGGCTCTATGCCATTAGAATTCAACTTTATGAATTTGACTTGGAATTTGAATAGAAAATGTCATTAAAATCAATGTCCACTATGACATTTTATATCCATTGCCAAATGGACTTGAACACCCAAACAACTAGCTAATTTGAGGTAAATAAAAAAACACATTTGCGTCACTCTGCTGCCCTGCCCTGCTGCCCAGGTCGCAGTTGTAATTGAGAACTTGTTCTCAACTGGCTTACCTGGTTAAAGGGAGGTAGCTCAGTTGGTAGAGCATGGCGTTTGCAACGCCAGGGTTGTGGGTTCAATTCCCACGGGGGGCCAGTATGAAAATAAAAAATAATAATGTATGCACTAACTGTAAGTCGCTCTGGATAAGAGCGTCTGCTAAATGACGTAAAATGTAAATGTTAAATAAAGGTGAAATAAAAATAAAAGTAAATGTTGCAAATTAGTACAACCTTGTGATGTTTTTTAGTTCTTTATATATCACTACATTTTAGTCATTTAGCAGACGCTCTTATCCAGACCGACTTACAGTTAGTGAGTGCATACATCATTTTTTTATTTTTCATACTGGCCCCCCGTGGGAATCGAACCCACAACCCTGGCGTTGCAAACGCCATGTTCTACCAACTGAGCTACATCCCTGCCGGCCATTCCCTCCCCTACCCTGGGCCAATTGTGCGCCACCCAATGGGTCTCCCGGTCGCGGCCGGCTACGACAGAGCCTGGATTCGAACCAGGATCTCTAGTGGCACAGCTAGCACTGTGATGCAGTGCCTTAGACCACTGCACCACTCGGGGGGGTCTAAGGATAAGAAACTACTTTCAAGTGACACTGCTCACGCTCCATTAACACCTTCATTACATTTTCATTTTAGGACAGTGGGTGTTCACCCTCCCACATACTCTGTTTTTCTCTCTCTATGCTTCTCTCTATTTCACATTCATACTCTCTGAGACGAACAGACACACACACTGAAGCTGAGGACTAGTGGCAGTGGCCTGAGCTCTGAGAGAGTGTTTCATGTTGCTGTATCTGGGTGTTCCTGTGGGCAGGTGAGGCTGTGTTTTTTGGGATGCCCCTCTTCGATGGCAGTGAGACTAGGCTGGTGGTGAGGGAGTGCCTACCTGAGGACGCGGGCGCCTACACCTGTGTGGCAGAGAACCGAGCGGGCAAGACCTCCAGCAGCGCAGCTGTGTGTGTGAGAGGTAAGACAACACACACACACAATGCTGAAATGAGCTCAGGTCACTGGCGTACCACACGCAGCCCCGCGAAACTGTAGTATGCCACTGGCTCAGATGGTACAGCCGGTGGCTTTATTTTGCATGAACACCAACAACACAAAGGGTTAACTGCACTGCAGTAAGATTTTAGATTCTGATGTTGTGGTTTTTTCTTTTGTCCCTTCTGTAACGGGATATGAAACTGAAATTGTCCCCTGATGGAAACAATCCAGACTTTGAGACTATCTGCGGAGTCCTAAACTCAACTTCACACACTTCCCCTCCCCTCAACAACAGCATTATGGAAAACAGAGGCTCAAAGTTACTTCTGTCATCCAACAATGACAGTGTCTTCAGACAATCCAGCTCCCCAACTAGCTCGAACACCCCGAGCCCAGGAGGAACCCGAAAAGGTAAAACATGAACTCATTAGAGACGATCTCTTATACACTGAGTGTACAAAACATTAGGAACACCTTCCTAATATTGAGTTGACCCCCTTTTGTCCTCAGAACTGCCTCAATTAGATGGGGCATGGACTCTACAAGGTTTCAAAAGCGTTCCACAGGGATGCTGGCCCATGTTGACTCCAATGCTTCCCACAGTTGTGTGAAGTTGGCTGGATGTCCTTCGGGTGGTGGACCATTCTTGACACACACGGGAAACTGTTGAGCGTGAAAAACCCAGCAGTGTTGCAGTTCTTGACACATTCAAACTGGTGCACCTGGCACCTACCATACCCCGTTCAAAGGCACTTAAATATTTTGTCTTGCCCATTCACCCTCTGAATGGCACATACACAATCCATGTCTCAATTGTCTCAAGGCTTAAAAATCCTTCTTTAACCTGCCTCCTCCCCTTCATCTACACTATTTGAAGCGGATTTAACAAGTGACATCAATAAGGGATCATAGCTGTCATCTGGATTCACCTGGTCAGTCTATGTCATGAAAAGCGCAGATGTTCATAATGTTTTGTACACTCAGTGTATATATCTTTCATATTGTATACATCTCTTTAAAGCAGGCAAGGTTATTTTTACAAAAATGCTACATTTACTTTTGGCTCATTTTCAAAGACATGAATATGCTTTCTGTCCAACACACTATGGGTTATTACCTGGTTATGGTTCATATGAACCACATCAGTCATATTTGGGCATTAATCACTTCAACCATTCAATGCTTAGTTCAACAAAGGAGTCTCTGTATGGAAGTCCCATCCAGCTGACTGCCTTTGCACCGTTTCCCTTGTTCTGTATTACAATGCTGCTTTGATCTGCTCTCTCACCGCTCTCTGTACAGCACCATGTAGGGGAAGAGACAGTCCACTGTAGCATAGTTAAACCTAGAGACAGTGGGTGTGTCCGAATACCCATACTAGCGTACTACAAACTAAAACTGCATACTCATTTCGACGTTTCAACTAGTAGAATTCACTCATCTTTACCGACTCATGTGTTTGACAACAGCTGATAATCAAATAAATTGACCTCGCTGTACCAAAGTGAACGAATGACGAGAGTCAATGCAATCGCGCATTAGATGACAAAATGTCACATACTATAAGACATTATTTTTTTAGGAAACTATTTAGTACGCTGGTATGGGTACTACAAAAACTGTAATTGCTAATTTGCTACGTGAGGCTTATTTGATCGAATAGTAGTTTTGCAATGGTTAGGTTGTTATGAATCCACTGATAAGTGGACACACGTGGCATTTTCGGCAACTCACCCCAAAATTACCAGTTGTTCCAGTTGTCATAGAGATAAAGGACTCATCATGGAAATAACCCATTTTAGCATGGACGTTGCCATTGAGGGCTTCCACCATTTTAAACTAGTCAACTGGGTGGGGATTCCTATGCATTGGGAGCAATCAGCCAATGATGAAGGAAATGTACTACTTTAAAATGGAGATGCCAATGCTGTCACAGACACTATAATGGCACAGATAAAAAGATGAGCCCTCTATTTATCTCTATGGCTTGGTGTTCACACGCATATCTGCCTTCTCATTGGCTAGAATGGTCCCACCTGATCTCGCCTCCTCCCGTCTGGCTTCCATATTTGAGGACATCTATTTCCATTGTTAGAGCGTTCACTCGAATATCTTGTCAATATAATAGACAATCTTTGGTAATGGTCCAGAGAGAGCTTAGCCACGCCCTCCCCACACCCCTATCACTAACTACCTGCACCTGTGATCTCATCTCGCCTCACCTCCATTCCACCAGTCTCCACAGAAGTCACGCCAAAGAAGAGAGCCAGCTCAGGGACAGGTAAGATACACACTAGTCTTTCTCTCTCCCTTCCTCTGTGAGCAAGCCAAGAGCTGCACCTGTCTCTGTCTCTCGTTCAATGCATTTATTCTGTATGACATTTCCAGTTGCTGTCCTTGCTTTCATCTATTGTGTTTATATCAACCCACAGCTTTTAAATCATATTGTCGTCCAGCCTCAGATACTAGAACTACACATTTAGTTTGACCCTTTGTACTCTTCTGTATTGTCAGGGTGTGTTGTGTTGCTGTAGTGAGGGACTTCGCTCTGGTCTGGGTAAGGCTAGAGTGTTATTGTGTATGAACTGGGTAAGGGTGTTACCAGGTAGACCCATAAAAGCATGTATAGTTCACGCGGGCCACCAGTTGCCCATCCCTGACTTAATTGCATACGTTTGTGTAGATAACTTGTAACTTTGTCACTAGATGGTGTAGGTTTACGTCGTTCAGTGGATTGCACAGAAGCTGATTTGTCATAACTTAATGTATGCTGACTGTCCACTCTTATCAGTTGCCTCTAATCTGTGTGTAAGAAAGAGGAAAGTTGTTTACAAGTAGACCGGTAACTGAATAATTTTATTCAATTTGAAATGGAGTGATTAATATAGAGCTATTTGTTAGGCTAGATGGACATCAGTTGAATGCATTCCATGGGAGGTTTTGTGACGTCAGTCCTACTTGTCTCAAAGAGAAAGTGCTTTATACACTCACACCAATTAAAACACAAGTGCAGCTTTATCTTAGTGGTTCTAGTCAAATCTACCATACTGCCATACTGATTTGACTACTGACTGGAAAGAGGCTGTATCCACAAAGCCCTTCGGGCTTTGCTCTTAAAAGGAATGATCTTCTGTAATGTAATGTCAGGGTTATAAGGAAGTTATCTGTACGTGGTTATGAATTATATCTAACCATTTATCTTCAGCATACTTGATAACAGTATTGACAATTCATTTACATTGAAAATGAGTGTTTGGTCTGTATGCTTGACCATGTTATGTACTAGTGTGTAGGCGTTTGTAGTTGAACTTGTTGGATACTCATGGTCTCATAAGGACTGCTCCTACTTGTGTGGTATGTCATCTGTGTTTGGTCATGAAATCCTGCCTTTGTTTTCGGTTGATACATCAGGCCCACCATGAATCGTGGTAGTAAGGGTTGCTAGTGATGAGAGGAACTTGCGCGCGTGTGCACAGACAGACAGACCTACAGACAGACGTAACCACGCAAACACACATACACAACAGTGTACTAACAAACAGAACCACTCACACACATACAATAACACTTACATGTACAAAAACAAACATAGTTGTTCTCACACACAGTTAATAATGTTTTGTACCCAAATCATTCTTGTGGCCCCTAGTCAAAACTCTGAAGTTGGTTTTACCCTGTCTTTCACAGCCTCGTTGCAGTTTAAAGATCCCCCGTCCCTCATTGAGGCACGGCTAGGAGAGACAGCCCATCTGACGTGTGTGTTCAGTGGCAGTCCCCCTGTGGTGTCCTGCTGGATACGAAATAAAGAACCGGTACCAATATTATTTTATTATTATATCATTTTCGAATGAGTGAACAAATATCACTAGCCTTCTTTTCGCAGCCTTCTGAACATGTGAGTGTACAGGTTGTGTCTTTCTTTGTCTAACTCACTCTCTCTGTAGGTTGTAGATGGGTCTGAGTTGTGGGTAGAGAGCAGTGATCAGAGCAGTACGTTGGTGATAGCAGAGCCAGGACCTGAGCACGCAGGACGCTACACCATTGTAGTACGAGACCGCAAGAGCTCGGCGCAGCATACCGTCGTTCTTTCTGTCATAGGTAAATAACACACCCAAAACATTTCTGTGCTTTGTGTGTTTTTCTGCCAAACCTGTTTGTAACCTGTACCGTGTCTTCCTGGTCCCAGAGCGGCCCCAGTCCCCAGCCTCCAGCCCTGTGGTGTCTCTCCTCTCTGTCTCTCCTCTCTGTTTGGTCCTGTCCTGGTCTGGGCCCTGCTACGACGGAGGCAGTGCTGTCCTGGGCTACGTGGTAGAGGTGAGGAGAAAAGGCCCCGCTGAGTCTGGGGACTGGAGTGAGCTCACAGCCCATTGCAAGAGCACCTCTTACAAGGTGCGCTCCGTGCTTGAGCCCCAGGCAGAGTACTGCTTCCGGGTGAGGGCCTACAACGTGGTGGGGGTGAGCGAGCCCAGTGAGGAGTCTCAGCTTATCAAGATGGAGCAGAAAGGTGAGCCATGTCAGTATCTAGTTGATTGGTTCCAGCAGCAGTAGTATACTGTGAACTTCATCATGTGTGGCTGTATACTGTGTGGCTCAGTTGGTAGAGCATGGCGCTTGCAATGCCAGGGTTGTGGGTTTGATTCCCACGGGGGACCAGTACTGTAAGTCGCTCTGGATAAGAGTGTCTGCTAAATGACTAAAATGTTAATCTAGCTTGTTTATCACATGGACTTCATGCCTTCAGCTGCAGACAGGAACACATTGACAGGATTTTTCGGTCTGTTTCCTATAGATTTGTATCAACAGCGTGCAATAGGTGCATCGTTTCATGCTGCCTATCTGATGACTGACAGCTCAAATGTCTGTCTCTGTGTGTGATCTGTAGCTGAGCCACAAGAGGAGGAGTCTCCTCGGACATATGAGGACGTCACTATCGACTCCACCCACAAGGTCACTGATCACTACAATGTACTGGAGAAACTGGGAGTGTGAGTATCTCCCATGAAACATTACACAAAACACACATTGAATACTTTAATGTTCACAACAAAACACACACACATGCCTGTGTGTGATGCAGTGTAGCTAACAAAATGAGTTAAACTTACTGCCCCCAGATCGGCAGGTTAGCGATAATCTCTCTTATTCTCGTGTAGGTTCATTGACAAAAACAAAAATGTATGTTCATCTACAGGTAAGGAACACTCACTATCTTGTTTAATGCCAGCTCTTGTTCACAAGGTTTTTCAAGCGAAACAAATGGTTCCCTCCTCTCTGAAATGTCAAAGTCATGGCTGATCTGGCCTTGACAAAAACACTTGTTGATTCAGTGTTCAGTGAACAGAGAGAGGAGAGGAGAATATCGCTGGGCCTGCCAAGTCACAGAGCATGGAGGAGAGAAGTGTTCAAACAGACAGACCATATAGCAACACTGATCAGCTCCGTTTAGTCAGAATGAGGGATGTGGTTTAATTTTCTGACCCATTCACTCTACCATTTCTTTACATGTGTATGTATCTCCACTAACACCTAACTCTAGCTCTCCGTCCTCTGAACTCATACAGTATGAAGGCAGAGAGTTGTCTAAGTGATTTTAGTGGTTAGGACCATATAAATATAATCTCTTCATTCTAGTTCTGTAGTTGAGACCCTGAGTTTTTCCTGACAATGACCTGACCAGGAAAACCCCAGAGTTTTTCCTGGTCAGGTCACATGGTCAGGGAAAACTCAGAGAAAGCAACCCTTCCTCTACATTCCTGAGTAGATCTAGGTCAGATCTCTAGTTAGCTCAGATCTCCAGATGGAGGAAGTGGGTCTGAAGCCATGATTATACATGGGCTTTACAGACGGTTTGGCACCGATTACCATTGCATTATGGTCCATGGGGTTCACAGCTCTGTGTGTCTATGTACAGTACCAGTCAGAAGTTTGGACACACCTACTCATTCAAGGGTTTTTCTTTATTTGTACTATTTCCTACATTGTAGAATAATAGTGAAGACATCAAAACTATAAATTAACACATATGAAATCATGTAGTAACCAAAAAAGTGTTAAACAAATGAAAATATATTTGAGATTCTTCAAAGTAGCCACCCTTTGCCTTGATGACAGCTTTGCACACTCTTGGCATTCTCTCAACCAGCTTCATGAGGAATGCTTCTCCAACAGTCTTGGAGGAGTTCCCACATATGCTTAGCACTTGTTGCCTGCTTTTCCTTCACTCTGCGGTCCATCTTATCCCAAACCATCTCAATTGGGTTGACGTTGGGTGATTGTGGAGGCCAGGTCATCTAATGCAGCACTCCATCACTCTCCTTCTTGGTCAAATAGCCCTTACACAGCCTGGAGGTTTGCTTTGGGTCATTGTCCTGTTGAAAAACAAATTATAGTCCCACTAAGCGCAAACCAGATGGGAAGGCGTATCGCTGCAGAACGCTGTGGTAGCCATGCTGGTTAAGTGTGCCTTGAATTCTAAATAAATCACAGACAGTGTCACCAGCAAAGCAACCCACACCATCACACCTCCTCGTCCATGCTTCACGGTGGGACCATACATGCAGAGATCATCCGTTCACCTACGCGGTTGGAACCAGAAATCTCAAATTTGGACTCATCAGACCAAAGGACAGATTTCCACTGGTCTAATGTCCATTGCTCATGTTTCTTGGCCCAAGCAAGTCTCTTCTTCTTATTGGTGTCCTTTAGTAGTGGTTTCTTTGCAGCAATTTGACCATGAAGGCCTGATTCACGCAGTCTCCTCTGAACAGTTGATGTTGAGATGTGTCTGTTACTTGAACTCTGTGAAGCATTTATTTGGGCTGCAATCTGAGGTGCAGTTAACGCTAATGAATTTATCCTCTGCAGCAGAGGTAACTCTGGGTCTTCCATTCCTGTGGCGGTCCTCATGAGAGCCAGTTTCATCATAGTTCTTGACTGTTTTTGTGACTGCACTTGAAGATACTTTCAAAGTTCTTGAAATTTTCCAGATTGACTGACCTTAATGTCTTAAAATAATGATGGACTGTCGTTTCTCTTTGCTTATTTGAGCTGTTCTTGCCACAATATGGACTTGGTCTTTTACCAAATAGGGCTATCTTCTGTATTCCCCCTTACCTTGTCACAACACAACTGATTGGCTCAAACGCATTAAGAAGGAAATAAATTCCACAAATTAACTTTTAATAAGGCACACCTGTCAATTTAAATGCATTCCAGGTGACTACCTCATGAAGCTGGTTGAAAAAATGGCAAGAGTGTGCAAAGCTGTCATCAAGGCAAAGGGTGGCTACTTTAAAGAATCTCACGAGCCCATTCAATTTGAGTATTTATAAATGTTTTGGGGAAATTATTATTATGGGTTAAAAAAACACTCCAGGCTACTCTTGAACGTCTAAAACTAGATAGAAAGTTTGTAGATGTCACGCTCTGACTTATGGGACTCTAGTATGTTGAGTCAGGGTGTGGAGTGCTATGTTGTATTTTCTATGTTTACGTTCTAGGTGTTGTAGTTCTATGTTTGGCCGGGTGTGATTCCCAATCAGAGACAGCTGTCGCTCGTTGTCTCTGATTGGGGAGCATACTTAGGCAGCCTATTGGCAATCATTAGTTGTGGGATCTTGTTTTGTGTTTAGCCTGAGGACTTCGCGTTACGTTGTTTTGTTCGTGTGTTTATCGTTGAAATAAACATGTATGCATTTCACGCTGCGCCTTGGTCTGACCCGTCCTTAAACGAACGTGACAGTAGAAATTATAATGGACCTATATATTTTCAAGTAACTGCCCTTTTTCTGGACTGAAAATTGATTTTGACAAAACAAATCGGTCCCCCAAAAATCTGTGCGGCCCTCTGTTGAATTTCGAAATCCAGATGTGGCCTTCGAGACATTTTCCCACCCCTGGTCTATAGAATGTGTATATGAAGATTGTACACACATTCATGTCATCATAGACTGATTCTGCTTTGTATGGACAAAAGTGTCTTATCAATCCATGGCATGTATGGCAATATTAATGCAAAGTACTCTACTAGCTCTGTGTATGTGTAAAGCAGTTCAACTACTCTGTTGTCCATACTTATTCTTCTGTTGCCGCCTGTAGTGCCAAAACCGTAAAAGCTACCGACACCAAAACAACTTTAAAACGTGTCGGCTGACCCTCCGCGGTGTGCTTGGAAAACCTTTTTTTTATACCACTTATACTTTTCAGCGCCATAGGCTTGAATGGGAAGTATTTGGCTAAGCCACTACTCTTGTACCGTTAAAGCTACCAATACCAAAATAACTTTAAAATGTGCAGACTGGCACTTGTACTGTTGCTTGAGCAAAACAATTATACTACTTATACTTTGCACACTACCACAATATTTGCATTAATCCCAATGCATTTCAGAGGCAATATATTTGAATAGGAAAAATTACTACTAGTCCTCCACTGTTTTCAGCTAGAAACGTCATTCAAACTTTAAAACGTGCAGACCGGTCTGGAATAGGTTGCTTGTATACTGACCGCAACTGCTGACCACACAACTACTGACAACACAACTACTGAATCATACAACTACTGACCACAACCACCCAACTACTGACCACAGCTACAAACACCACCCCAACGTTGACATGTGCAGACTGACTCAATTTAGATGCCTTCAACACAGCTTTTTGCTGTCATTCCTACTTCATAAACTATAAAGCTGGTTGTATTCCCATTCATTTCAATGGCGGAATGCAGGCTTCAACATTCAAAACTAAAATCACTGCCACAACTTTCAGACAAAACATTTTAAGAGCTTAAAAACACATTATATGGCTTATGATGATAGTACTCACTCTAGCCTACTATACCAGCCTACTATAACCCATTATAATAACTCCACACCTACAACCATTCCAAAATAGGTCACTATCACTAACCCGTAGCCTATGAAAACCCTATTTCTACCATTATTACTACAGCCTTCACTACAACTGCTTTCATTACCATGAAAAACACCTAAAGAGGAGCAAGCAAACCACATTTTATTCAGGAAATGTCCTTTTCTAGTTAACAACGTGTATCTGCTGTGACACTCCACAGGGGGAAGTTTGGCCAGGTGTTCAAACTGACCCACAAGGAGACGGGCCGTGTGTGTGCCGGGAAGTTCTATAAGGGCCGGCGTGCCAAGGAGAGGGAGGCAGCCCGTAAAGAGATAGAGCTGATGAACTACCTGCACCACCCCAAACTGGTCCAGTGTCTGGGGGCCTATGATCTCAAGCCAGAGATGGTCATGGTCATGGAGTTGTAAGTACAGTATCTAGACAACAACCATTGACCACAATACATGGCAGTGGAAGCCATAGAGCCCTGTAGAAGTAAATGCATGAGGTCCGGTGTCACTAATGTGAATTGAGTTAAATTGAATTGAATACAACTTAAATTACAACCTTATTGATCCTGTGATTGTTTGTGTATGTGTGCAGCATTGCTGGAGGTGAGCTGTTTGAGCGTATAGTGGACGACAGCTTTGTGCACACAGAGCCGGCCAGTGTGCGCTACATGCAGCAGATCGTGGAGGGGATCGGCTACATGCACCAGCAGAACATCGTCCACCTGGACCTGAAGCCTGAAAACATAGTGTGTGTTGACCACACTGGCACGCGCATCAAGATCATTGACTTTGGCCTGGCCAGCAAGCTGGGTGAGTGTGGGGCTGACTGAGGGACAGAGCCAAGGGTGTTGAATGGTGCTGCATGTTTTGGAAGCATTGTTGGTTTGCATTGCAACACCTGGAAAATGAATGATGTCCCTGAAAAGATTTAGAGCTCAAATTTCTGCCTCTGTGTTCACTGTGATATATGGGCTGTCTCAAATGGTACCCTATTACAGTGCTATGAAAAAGTATTTGCCCCCTTTCTAATTGTCTCTACTTTTGCATATTTGTGATACTGAATGTTATAAGATCTTCAACCAAAACCTAATATTAGATAAAGGGAACATAAGTGAACAAATAACACAACAATTGCATATTTATTTCATAAACAAAGTTATGCAACACCCAATTCCCCTGTGTGAAAAAGAAATTGCCCCCTTACACTCAATAACTGGTTGTGCCACCTTTAGCTGCAATGACTCCATCCAAATGCTTCCTGTAGTTGTTGATCCGTCTCTCACGTCGCTGTGGAGGAATTTTGGCCCACTCTTCCATGTAGAACTGCTTTAACTCAGTGACGTGTGGGTTTCCAAGCATGAACTGCTCGTTTTCAAGTCCTGCCACAACATCTCAATTGGGATTAGGTCTGGACTTGGACTAGGCCATTCCAAAATGTCAAATTTGTTGCTTTTTAGCAATTTTCATGTAGACTTGATTGTGTGTTTTGGATCATTGTCTTGCTGCATGACCCAGCTGCGCTTCAGCTTCAGCTCATAGACGGATGGTCTGACATTCTCCTGTAGAATTCTCTGATACAGAGCAGAATTCATGGTTCCTTCTATTAAGGCAAGTCGTCCAGGTCCTGAGGCAGCAAAGCATCCCCAAACCATCACACCACCACCACCATGCTTGACCTTTGGTATGATGTTCTTACTGTGGAATGCAGAGTTTGATTTTCACCAGGCATTACTGGAACCATGTTGTCCAAAAAGTTATACTTTTGACTCATCTGTCCATAGAACGTTCTTCCAAGAGTCTTGATGATCATCCAGGTGTTTTTTGGCAAACTTGAGTCAACTTTTTGGACGAGATGGGTCCCATTATGCCTGGCGAAAACCAAACACTGCATTCCACAGTAAGAACATCATACCAAAGGTCAAGCATGGTGGTGGTGGTGTGATGGTTTGGGGATGCTCTGCTGCCTCAGGACCTGTACGACTTGCCTTAATAGAAGGAACCATGAATTCTGCTCTGTATCAGAGAATTCTACAGGAGAATGTCAGACCATACGTCTGTGAGCTGAAGCTGAAGCGCAGCTGGGTCATGCAGCAAGACAATGATCCAAAACACACAATCAAGTCTACATGAAAATTGCTAAAAAGCAACAAATTGGAAGTTTTGGAATGGCCTAGTCAAAGTCCAGACCTAATCCCAATTGAGATATTGTGGCAGGACTTGAAACGAGCAGTTCATGCTTGAAAACCCACACGTCACTGAGTTAAAGCAGTTCTGCATGGAAGAGTGGGCCAATATTCCTCCACAGCGACGTGAGAGACTGATCAACAACTACAGGAAGCATTTGGTTGGAGTCATTGCAGCTAAAGGTGGCACAACCAGTTATTGAGTGTAAGGGGGCAATTACTTTTTCACACAGGGGAATTGGGTGTTGCATAACTTTGTTTATGAAATAAATATGTAATTGTTGTGTTATTTGTTCACTTATGTTCCCTTTATCTAATATTAGGTTTGGTTGAAGATCTGATAACATTCAGTATCACAAATATGCAAAAGTAGAGAAAATTAGAAAGGGGGCAAATACTTTTTCATAGCACTGTACCTATATAGTGAATAACTTTTGATAAGGGCCCATAGGGCTCTGTTAGAAAGGTCCTGGTCAAAATTAGTGCACTGTGTAGGGAATAGGGTGCCATTTGGGATGAAGGGATGCAACCTCATTATCCTGAGGTGTTGTCTGTCCTCCAGACCCCTCCACTCCCCTGAAGGTGATGCACGGGACACCAGAGTTTGTGGCTCCAGAGGTGATCGGCTATGAGACTGTTAGCTTAGCTACAGACATGTGGAGCATTGGAGTCATCTGCTACATATTGTGAGTACTAAGGCACTTTTCTGTTTCATTCATTCTCAATTAGACATCCTTCTTCTCTGCCTACAACAGGGCTTGACAAACTGTAGCTTTTCTGCCACCTAGTGGCCATACATTTATATTGCTCATATATCAAGTTCAAACGCGTGTGTGTGTACATGCGTGTGTGTGGTGTGTGTCTGTGCATGCGTGTGTGTGTTCAGACTGAGTGGCGAGTCTCCCTTCCAGGGTAACAGTGAGGCAGAGACCCTGGCCTTGGTAACTGGTGCTCAGTGGGAGTTTGACGAGGAGAGCTTCGAAGAGATCACTGACCAGGCCAAAGACTTCATTAGCTCCCTGCTCAACAAGGAACCAAGGTCTGGGACAACACCATATACCATATACCTGTCTATGGATGAGCCTAGCCCTCAAGGACCTGCCCTCGATGTCTCCCCTCTAACCCTCCCTGTTTTGCCTCTTAGCCTCCCTGTCTCCCCTCTAACCCTCTCTGTCTGTCCCCACCCAGGCGCAGGATATCCTGTGAGGAGGCTCTGGTCCACTCCTGGATAGCTGAGCCCATCTCAGCAGACCCCAGGACCACCAAGTGTCTCTCCAAGGAGAAGATGAAGAGGTACCTCGCCAAGCAGAAGTGGAAGGTAGGTAGTGGGTTCCCCACCAAAATTATACTTTGTATTTTAGTACATTTCAGTTCTTTCATTATTTCATCATCCCCCGGTAGGTGTGTGAAACCCATTGACTGAAGCCTCTCTGTGTATCTCCTGTAGAAAACAGGGAAGGCCCTGCTGGCGCTGAAGAGGATGGCTCTGTTGTCTAAAGCCGATGGGTCTGGCTCTCCCACCGCTCCTGCAGAAGGTGAGACCTCCCGCCATACTTCCAAAGCCTGCCATACTCAATCCAAACCATGTCACTTTTTCTCCTATTATTTTAGGCTCGTAACCCTACCATTCCTCATGTGATAAATGACCCTGTTTGCCCGGTCAACCAGATGAGAGCTACGCATACCATTGGTTCACTTGTGCTCAGTCTGGCTGACCAGTCTATGACTCTGCTGTGAGCCTTGACCCTGTGTCTGACCCCTGACAGACAGTCCCCTGAGTCCTGAGGCAGAGCAGGCCCTGCGGTCTCTAGAGGTCAAACTCCAGGGGGTGCCCCAGTTCTCCCTGACCCTAACGGACCAGACAGCCTCCCAGGGCTCCACCGCCCGCCTCTCCTGTCACCTCACAGGTACCTACCTATACACTGATTTACACTACAAAAGGCTTCCACATGTTTGGTTGACCGAATTATACATTTTCACTAAGTTTCAGCTGGTGCTTGTAAAGATTTTAAATGCTTTGTTTTAAAGTTGGACATTGATTAAGAGCAATCATGCCTAACTAACTCCCTTGTTCAAGGACGCACAGCTGCATCCTGCTGTGTAAAACACTTAAAGCTTTTCAAGTAGTTAGTGTGTAAGTGTTACATTCCATTTCCTGAGCTCTTGTCATTGGCTGTTTCCTCTCTCTCTCCCCCCTCTGATCCCTTCTCTGACCTCTCCTTTCAGGGTACCCTGACCCAGAGGTGGTGTGGTTGAGGGGTGAGGAGCCTCTGGAGGAGTCATCCCGGGTGCAGATAGAGTATGAAGAGGATGGGCTCTGCACCCTGGTCCTGGCCCAAGTTGGGCCAGAGGACTCTGATATTTACACCTGTAGGGCCACCAACGACCAGGGGGAGGCACTGTGTTCAGCCAAACTCATAGTAAAGGAATATGTTTGGTCAGAACTGTGAATACATATCGAAACACAAACAAGCAGAAATTCAGACACCCATGTTTGTGAAATGTCTTTCAAACATTCCAGAAAATGTTGTATAGCGCTTGAACCACTAAACTCTGTACATTGCGGCTCTTGTGAAACAATTCTCTGATTTCAGATCGAAAAACCTCTAAGTCCTACTAGTTATTTTGGACATATGTACGGTTTTGAAAAGAATAACCCTGTGAATTAAGACTACTGTGAATAGAGTAAGTGTCTTAATAATAAAGGAATATTTTTGCACCAAGTATGGATGGTAAACATTTGACAGATGTAAGTTTAATGTACCACCCATACACAAAAAATGTATGCACGCATGACTGTAAGTCGCTTTGGATAAAAGCGTCTGCTAAATGGCATATTATTATTTATTATTAATGTGCATGTATTGTAACCGCTATGAATTTGGAAGTCTTTTTTTCTTTATCTCAGTGAAAGTTTACTGTACAAAAAATGTTTAGTTGCCTCTAAGACCAATGGCTTTTTATTTTGACAGTTATGTCCACCAGATGACAGCATATTCTTTTGTGAAAGAGTATGGCTTGTGGTGGAACAGCAGCCTTGTGGAAAGTGTGACAATAAAAGATAGGAAGCATATAATTCTACTGCATTATAACCTCACTGTGTGCTACAGATTACTATTTTATGTCTACTAATTTAAGGACTGGATTCAATCCATATCGGTTAAAATCTGCGCTGTAGCGTGCTTGAAATTATGCAGTGTTTGCTGTAAATGCAGCCGCCGCCGCGGGAACATTGCCTTTAAATGTCAACGTGGTACTTTGGCGATATGGCTTGAATACAGCCCTTATATAAAAATTAAGTAATATCAACCAGTTAGCTGTTGAAATGTGTTCCATGTTTACATGGTGAAGAGCAGGAAGCCACTGAAGGTGTTGTAAATAATAAATAATTGGTCATTTAGCAGACGCTCTTATCCAGAGCGACTTACAGGAGCAATTAGGGTTAAGTGCCTTGCTCAAGGGCACACCGACAGATTTTTCACCTAGTCGGCTCGGGGATTAGAACCAGCGACCTTTCGGTTACTGGCACAACGCTCTTAACCACTAAGCTACCTGCCGCCCATGTGTTGTAGTTCATGTCGTCATCATAGACCAGCCTGTTAGCCTGTAACTCAACATAGACATTATCTCCCACCTCCAGAGGAATGACCACTGCGTTGCTGCCACTGTCTTGGGCATTGGTTCCTACAGTGTCCCAGACAGACACCAGCCTCTGGCCATTCTTGGTCAAGCACACCACAAAATTGGGAGTGTCATTCAGGTTGTTCATCATCGTGAAATGGAAGTAGTACATTCCTTTGACTGTGGCAGTGAAGATACTTGTAGGGGCATAGCTTTTAGTTTCAAAACACAACACCACACAACATGATGCAACACACACACAGAATATCTAGTACCTGTGGCAGGGTTTGAGAAGACCTTCTTGTACTGCAGGGGAATGGGAGTGGTGAAAGGTCCAGTGTTCCCAGCGGCATTACCTGTCTCCCGGAGAGTTGCGGAGAAGGCCACCTGAGGCCGGCCTGAGAGAGATACAGGATGGATGAGATTACCTATATTAAAAAGTACACTGAGTGTACAAAACATTAGGAAGACCTTCCTAATACACCCCCTTTTGCCCTCACAACAGCATAAATTCGTCGGGGCATGGACTCTATAAGGTGTCGAAAGCTTTCCTCAGGAATGCTGGCCCATGTTGACTCCAATGCTTCCCACACAGTGGCGGCTCCTGAAAAAATTCTCAGGAGGGGCAATTTTTCTGATGATTTAGGTGACCTACACACATTTTAAAAAAGATATGTCCAGCAACAACATGAAGACAGGGGCAGCATATAAGTCAATACCAGAAGCATTTATTGACTGATCTGGGGAGATGGATTCCAGTTTCTGTGACAGATTATAAATAATCTCTGATGCCTTTGTTATATTAGCTTTTGGTTGAATGTACTGTCGTAGTAAATATATAATGTTATAGCTTGGTCTGACTAAAATCTTGTGCATGACCCATTTTGTGTTGGGCGTTTGTTTTCAATCAATGCTGTTCCTATCCTATAACAATGGACAAAAGAGTCCTATCTTGTCAGCCTTGTCAGCAGGTGGCCAAGGACAACACCCACGCCATAGGTCTCTCAGTTCTTCCAACTCACGAGTTCTTGCTCTGAGGACACACACACACACACACACACACACATCATCACTGATAACACACACACACACACACATCATCACTGTTAAACACACACACACACAAAAAAATCCCCTCTCTTTAGGCTGAACATTTGAAGACAGAGAACCCGACTCAGAGCCAATGCAACAGTGGAGGGGACCTCGCCCAACTCATCAGGACCAATCAGAAGATCAGAACTACTAGATTCAACCTACATCATTTATTGTATAAAATGTCTGCACACAATGTTTTCGGGGCTCTCTTCAGATAGCTCCCTAAGAGTTTGACGAACGAGTCCGTGCACGCGATTCCAGATATCTTTACCTCTGAATAAACTGCCTTTATTATACCATATCCACCCTGTCCAAAGTCTCTACTTGGTCTCAGTTCTCCAGTAAACTTGTGATTATCAACAGTACACAACGGTAACAAACAATTGGGGGAACTCACGGGGCAGATAGTAAGGTCGCAGTGACACAGAAAGCAGTTCAATGTCGGGGGTACAGAGTCGCTCTCTTACCAGGATCGATCTGTGACTGTCAGATCGCGGTCCGCTCTGACCAGGGTGAAGCCGGCCGGCTCCACTTCTCCGGGACTCTGTCATCCAGCCAAGTCTCCCAGCTGTATTGGATTCCGCTGCCAGCAGCGTTTTCATTATTTAGTCCGTTCGTAGCGGGTATGTACACGATCAACAAGATCAGTCCAAAACCCACCACTGGAAATCCATGGTTGGCAGAATGTTTGTAAACTAAGTGTACAAATTAAAAACATAAAATAACGCCACTAAGTGTACAAATTAAAAACATAAGATAACGCCACACTGCAGGTCGCAACAGAGACGCTGCTAGCCGCTATTTGCTTAGTTACGTTCATGGTTACGTCACGTATGATGAAAGCGCGTAAGTGCAAGCCCACAGACCCCCATAGAGATTGTATTGAAAGCTTTGAAATTTGAAAAAAATAGATTTTACATGACAGGCTATGAGAGACTTCTGGGCGATTTTCAACCTGACTGAAATCGCCCCAAAAACGGGCGGGGCCATTTGAAGCACGACTTTAGCCTGATTTGACATTTAGTGGCAGTCAGATCAGATTACAACACTGATAACTACTGTTGCCGTGATATAATTGATTAGAAAAAAAATCCCTTCCTTTTCCCGTTTGGCAGTGCGTCGCCCATATCGCCCTATTGAACAGGCCGTCCCTGTTCCCACAGTTGTGTGAAGTTGGCTGGATGTCCTTTGGGTGGTGGACCATTTTTGATACACACGGGAAACTCTTGAGCGTGAAAAACTCAGCAGTGTTGCAGTTCTTGACACTGCGCCTGGCATCTACTACCATACACTGTTCAAAGGCACTTAAATATTTTGTCTTGCCCATTCACCTTCTGAATGGCACACATATACAAACCATGTCTCAGTTGTCTCAAGGCTTAAAAATCCTTCTTTAACCTGTCTCCTCCCCTTCATCTACACTGATTGAAGTGGATTTAACAAGTGACATCAATAAGGGATCATAGCTCACCTGGATTCACCTGGTCAGTCTGTCATGGAAAGAGCAGGTGTTCCTAATGTTTTGTACACTCAGTGTATACCATCAGTTGTATGCAATAATGTATTCACAGATCAGAGGCTGTTAGAAAGTTAAATATAGGATAATCCCTATAATAGACAGAGAAGCAATGGGTGGATAGGAGGCTGGGACAAATGTGAAAGCGCTACATTACCTCCAGTGACTCAAATCAAATCAAATCACATTTTATTTGTCACATACACGTGTTTAGCAGATGTTATTGCGGGTGTAGCAAAATGCTTGTGCTTCTAGTGCTTCTGCAATAATATCTAACAAGTAATATCTAACAATTTCACAACATATACCCAATACACACAAATCTAAGTAAGGAATGGAATTTAAGAATATATACATATATGGACAAGCAGTGACAGAGCGGCATGGACTAAGATACAGTACAATATTATAGAATACAGTATATACATATGAGATGAGTAATGCAAGATATGTAAACATTATTAAAGTGACTAGTGTTCCATTTCCTAAAGTGGCCAGTGATTTCAATAGGCAGCAGCAGCCTCTAGTGCGCTACTGCTAAATGGCATATTATTATTATTATTATTATTATGGCTATTTAGCAGTCTGATGGCCTTGAGATAGAAGCTGTTTTTCATTCTCTCGGTCCCAGCTTTGATGCACCTGTACATGACCTCGCCTTCTGGATGATAGCGGGGTGAACAGGCAGTGGCTTGGGTGGTTGATGTCCTTGATGATATTTTTGGCCTTCCTGTGACATCGGGTACTGTAGGTGTCCGGGAGGGCGGGTAGTTTGCCCCCGGTAATGTGTTCGGCAGACCGCACCACCCTCTGGAGAGCCCTGCGGATGCGGGCGGTGCAGTTGCCGTACCAGGTGGTGATACAGCCCGACAGTATGCTCTCAATTGTGCATCTGTAAAAGTTGTTGAGGGTTTTAGGTGCCAAACCAAATTTCTTCAGCCTCCTGAGGTTGAAGAGGCTCTGTTGCACCTTCTTCACCACACTGTCTGCGTGGGTGGACCATTTAAGTTTGTTAGTGATGTGTACGCCAAGGAACTTGAAGCTTTCCACCTTCTCCACTGCAGTCCCGTCGATGTGGATAGGGGGGTGCACCCTCTGCTGTTTCCTGAAGTCCACGATCATCTCCTTTGTTTTGTTGACGTTGAGTGAGATGTTATTTTCCTGGCACCACACTCCCAGAGCCCTCACCTCCTCCCTGTAGGCTGTCTCGTCATTGTTGGTAATCAAGCCTACTACTGTTGTGTTGTCTGCAAACTTGATGATTGAGTTGGAGGCGTGCTTGGCCACGCAGTCATGGGTAAACAGTGAGTACAGGAGGGGGCTGAGCACGCACCCTTGTGGGGCCCCAGTGTTGAGGATCAGCGAAGTGGAGATGTTGTTTCCTACCTTCACCACCTGGGGGCCGCCCATCAGGAAGTCCAGGACCCAGTTGCACAGGGCGGGGTTCAGACCCAGGGCCTCGAGCTTAATGATGAGCTTGGAGGGTACTATGGTGTTGAATGCTGAGCTATAGTCAATGAACAGCATTCTTACATAGGTATTCCTCTTGTCCAGATGGGATAGGGCAGTGTGCAGTGTGGTGGTGATTGCATCGTCTGTGGATCTATTGGGGTGGTAAGCAAATTGAAGTGGGTCTAGGGTGACATGATCCTTGACTAGTCTCTCAAAGCACTTCTGAGGGCTACGGGGTGATAGTCATTTAGTTCAGGTACCTTTGCTTTCTTGGGTACAGGAACAATGGTGGCCATCTTGAAGCATGTGGGGACAGCAGACTGGGATAGGGAGAGATTGAATATGTCCGTAAACACACCAGCCAACTGGTCTGCACATGCTCTGAGGACGCGGCTAGGCCAGCAGCCTTGAGAGGGTTAACATGCTTAAATGTCTTACTTACGTCGGCTACGGAGAAGGAGAGCCCACAGTCCTTGGTAGTGGGCCACGTCGGTGGCACTGTGTTATCCTCAAAGCGGGCGAAGAAGGTGTTTAGCTTGTCTGGAAGCGAGACGTCGGTGTCGGCGACGTGGCTGGTTTTCCTTTTGTAGTCCTTCATACTCTCTTCAGCTCCTCCACTTCATTCTCACTGGTTTGTAACCGGGTCTCCATGAGTCTCAGGTTATCCCCCATAGTTCACAGTTTCTCCCCCATGGCTCCTAGTTTCTCTCCTATAGATATCAGTTCTTTCATCAGAGAACCAGTGTCAGATGGACAGCATGCTTTCTGGTCCTCGTGGTCTCCCTGAGAGACAGATAGACAGCAGCATAGTGCCAGCAAAAAGACTGCAATACCCTTCATTCTCAAACTCATGTTCTTCTGAAACCTTTCCTGAAGTATGGTTCTGTATTGTTTCTCAGCCCAGTCTTCCTCTTTATAAATATGCCATCAGGAAGTAGGAACTATTTGTCTGAGAAGTGCTTAACAATAGGGGCTCATAAATGAAGATAGTTCAGCTCTCAGTTAAAATGGAAAAAGTTCAAACAAAGCCTTTTGTTTCTGGATATTCATGCTCTTGAGTGTCATTCTTTCTGCATTGGATATATTTGGTAAAATCATTTTAGGACAAAAGAATGCAGCCCATGCTGTGATAATATAATTTACTTGCCTTTTATGGTGCATACTATAATTATAGTATCAACAAATAGCAAAGACATATAAAAGAGGGTTAACCATGTTGGGGTATATTGATAGTTGTAGTTAGTTTTTATTGGGCCATTGTGTAACAATTAATTGAAATAACTTTTCATTAGATAAGTTGTATGTTTTGATGGAAGTAGTTGATTTTGTGTCATGTATTTAATGTTTTTATTCTTAATGCATTTAATGCACCATGATCATTATGTCCACTAGAGAGCAGCCTATTCATCAGAAGAAAAGTCAATGTGGGGCTTTTTCAGAGGCTTGATATGACACATTCTGGCTGAGAAAAGTGGATTCTAACAGTACAGTCCTGTACTTGATACTGTAGAACTACATAATGTTCTTTGAACCAGTTATGAGAGGATGAATGTGTAATTATATAAAGACACTGGGGTAGGGAGGGTGTGATGCTTGTGATAAATCAGTTGTAGCTGACTACAGAACAACTGAGCTAGCAGCATCTGAGTGTGACTGAGGCACTGGTCTGGCTCACTACCAGCCTGGGTGTCCAGGTCTCTGCCAGCTGACATGAAAGGCAGACTATAGGGGGCCTGTCCCGTGGCATTCCTAAATCACAAGCAGTAGACTCACTGATATCAAGTTGTATTACTTCAAGGACTAAAAAAGATCAAATGCAAACTAAGAGTATGGTCTTTAGTTACCCCCGGAGCACTTTCTCAACTGAAAACTAACCCAACTGCCAAGGCAAGCCAGTATCCACATTCTCACAATTTGATACACAACAGGAGTAAGCTTTTTCTGGATTGGCTGTGGTTTAACTGTGAGGAAGCGGGAGGGAGGAGTTGACCCTGTCTTCAGGTCTTTTGTGTTGTGTTCCTTCCTGGCTCTTACTTAACTAATTCTCAAGTCATGTGCCTTCCTGGAACTGTCCTGATGCAACAGAACATTGGTAGACAGTAAGAGAACAGGTCTACTACAGGACAACTTTCTCTAACTGGAGCAGAGTTGTTCTCTTGGCTATTGAAACAATACTTTCTACACATCTGTGATCCTACCAACTTTCACCTAGCTCCGTCTTGACGATTACAGTAATCAACAATGAACAGAAGACATGCAGTTGACAACACATACAAAATAAATTAGGCACAAAGAGTTTAGCAAAATATGAGCTTTTTAAATTTTCCATTCACACACCAAAATAATCGTATTAGTGTCGGAGAAGGAAAAGCTGACCTCTCAGATGTTTTTGAACACCGCAAAGGAGTCACTTCATCATCTGTAACTTAAATAAGAAAAAATACGCTAAAATGTATGCACACATGACTGTAAGTCGATTTGGATAAAAGCATCTGCTAAATGACATATAAGAAGGTCCCTTTCAAACATGAACATCTGATAACAAACATCCACTTCCATCCCAAATAAAAATAGTATGTACATTCAAGTAAATAAATTAAAGTTTCTGTAGTGCAAATAAATAAGTGCTTGTGTACATAAGAACAAAATCCAAACGAGAAGACTCAGTCTCCTGCATAAGGCACTACCATGTTGAAATTGAGTGGTGAGGGGTTTCAGGTGGTGATGGAGGTAGGGAGCGGGTCTTATTTCAGTCCATTGGTCGGTGAGTGGGGGGCCAGGTAGGGGTCTCCTCATGCTGCTCGCCTCCTTGCTAGCGCCTCCTGGAGGGGGGCGTGGTGGCACCCGTATAGTTTGGCTGCCCGTGACTCAAAGGCGTTCACCATCTGCTTCACCACCTTGTCAAAGAACAAGGTGGCCAGCTGGGAGTGCAGCAGGGACCTGAACTCGAAGGATACCTGAAGAGTGAAGGGGAGAAAATAATAAGTACTCTCAAATGCCATAACCATGCTGCTGACACAAGTGTACCTATCCATCTGAGGAATATTGTTTCCTTTAAAAAAAAATTTTTTTTTAACCTTTATTTAACCAGGTAAGCCAGTTGAGAACAAGTTCTCATTTACAACTGCGACCTGGCCAAGATAAAGCAAAGCAGTGCAATAAAAACAACAACACAGAGTTTCATATGGAATAAACAAAACGTACAGTCAATAACACAATAGAAAATCTATATACAGTGTGTGCAAATGTAAGAAGTTATGGAGGTAAGGCAATAAATAGGCTATAGTGCAAAATAATTACAATTTAGTATTAACACTGGAGTGATAGATGTGCAAAAGATGATGTGCAAATAGAGATACTGGGGTGCAAATGAGCAAAATAAATAACAATGTAAATAACAATATGGGGATGAGGTACAGGTGCAGTGATCGGTAAGCTGCTCTGACAACTGATGCTTAATGTTAGTGAGAGAGAAGTGTCTCCAGCTTCAGAGATTTTTGCAGTTCGTTCCAGTCATTTGCAGCAGAGAACTGGAAGGAATGGCAGCCAAAGGAGGTGTTGGCTTTGGGGATGACCAGTGAGATATACCTGCTGGAACGCATACTACAGGTGGGTGTTGCTATGGTGACCAATGATCTAAGATAAGACGGGGATTTGCCTAGAAGTGATTTATAGATGACCTGGAGCCAGTGGGTTTGGCGACGAATATGTAGTGAGGGCCAGCCAACGTGAGCGTACAGGTCACAATGGTGGTTAGTATATGTGGCTTTGGTGACAAAACGGATGGCACTGTGATAGACTACATCCAATTTGCTGAGTAGAGTGTTGGAAGCTATTTTGTAAATGACATCGCCGAAGTCAAGGATCGGTAGGATAGTCCGTTTTACGAGGGCATGTTTAGCAGCATGAGTGAAGGAGGCTTTGTTGCGAAATAGGAAGCCGATTCTAGATTTAACTTTGGATTGGAAATGCTTAATGTGAGTCTGGAAGGAGAGTTTACAGTCTAACCAGACACCTAGGTATTTGTAGTTGTCCACATATTCTAAGTCAGACCCGCCGAGAGTAGTGATTCTAGTCGGGCGGGCGGGTGCAAGCAGCGTTCAATTGAAGAGCATGCATTTAGTTTTACTAGCGTTTAAGAGCATTTGGAGGCCACGGAAGGAGTGTTGTATGGCATTGAAGCTCGTTTGGAGGTTTGTTAACACAGTGTCCAATGAAGGGCCAGATGTATACAAAATGGTGTCGTCTGCGTAGAGGTGGATCTGAGAGTCACCAGCAGCAAGAGCGACATCATTGATATACACAGAGAATAGAGTCTGTCCGAGAATTGAACCCTGTGGCACCCCCATAGAGACTGCCAGAGGTCCAGACAACAGGCCCTCCGATTTGACACATTGAACTCTATCTGAGAAGTAGTTGGTGAACCAGGCGAGGCAGTCACTTGAGAAACCAAGGATATTTAGTCTGCCAATAAGAATGCAGTGATTGACAGAGTCAAACGCCTTGGCCAGGTCAATGAAGATGGCTGCACAGTACTGTCTTTTATCGATCGCGGTTATTATATCGTTTAGGACCTTGAGCGTGGCTGAGGTGCAACCATGACCAGCTCGGAAACCAGATTGCATAGCGGAGAAGGTACGGTGGGATTCGAAATGGTCGGTGATCTGTTTGTTAACTTGGCTTTCAAATTCTTTCGAAAGGCAGGGCAGGATGGATATAGGTCTGTAATGGTTTGGATCTAGAGTGTCACCCCCTTTGAAGAGGGGGATGACCGCGGCAGCATTCCAATCTCTGGGGATCTCAGACGATACGAAAGAGAGGTTGAACAGGCTAGTAATAGGGGATGCGACAATTTCGGCGGCTAATTTTAGAAAGAAAGGGTCCAGATTGTCTAGCCCAGCTGATTTGTAGGGGTCCAGATTTAGCAGCTCTTTCAGGACATCAGCTATCTGAATTTGGGTGAAGGAGAAGCGTGGGGGGCATGGGCAAGTTGCAGCGGAGGGTGCAGAGCTGGTGGCCGGGGTAGGGGTAGCCAGGTGGAAAGCATGGCCAGCCGTAGCAAAATGCTTATTGAAATTCTCGATTATCGTAGATTTATCGGTGGTGACAGTGTTTCCTAGCCTCAGTGCAGTGGGTAGCTGGGAGGAGGTGCTCTTTTTCTCCATGGACTTTACAGTGTCCCCAAACGCTAGCCTTTACTTTCCTAACTGATTGTGTATATTGGTTCCTGACTTCCCTGAAAAGTTGCATATCGCGGGGGCTGTTCGATGCTAATGCAGTACGCCACAGGATGTTTCTGTGGTGGTCAAGGGCAGTTAAGTCTGGGGTGAACCAGGGGCGATATCTGTTCTTAGTTCTAAAATTTTTGAATGGGGCATGCTTATTTAAGATGGAGAGGAAAGCACTTTTGAAGAACATCTAGGCATCCTCTACTGATGGAATGAGGTCAATATCCATCCAGGATACCCGGGCCAGGTCAATTAGAAAGGCCTGCTCGCTGAAGTGTTTTAGGGAGGGTTTGACAGTGATGAGGGGTGGTCGTTTGACCGCGGAACCATTACGGACGCAGGCAATGAGGCAGTGATCGCTGAGATCCTGGTTGAAGACAGCGGAGGTGTATTTAGAGGGTAAATTAGTCAGGATGATAACTATGAGGGTGCCCATGTTTACGGATTTAGGGTTGTACCTGGTAGGTTCCTTGATAATTTGTGTGAGATTGAGGGCATCTAGTTTAGATTGTAGGACGGCCGGGGTGTTAAGCATATCCCAGTTTAGGTCACCAAGCAGGACGAACTCTGAGGATAGATGGGGGGCAAGCAATTCACATATGGTGTCCAGGGCACAACTGGGGGCTGAGGTGGGTCTGTAGCAAGCGGCAACAGTGAGAGACTTATTTATGGAAAGGTGGATTTTTAGAAGTAATAAATAATTGTCCAGGCTAGAGCTGGCTGGTAGGTAGTGCAGGCCACGGACAGTGTTGAAGACCGCTAACGGTGGCGGCAGGTAGCTTAGTGGGTAAGAGCGTTGTGCCAGTAACCGAAAGGTCGCTGGTTCTAATCCCCGAGCCGACTAGGTGAAAGATCTGTCGATGTGCCCTTGAGCAAGGCACTTAACCCTAATTGCTCCTGTAAGTCGCTCTGGATAAGAGCGTCTGCTAAATGACTAAAATGTAAAAGTAATAGCAAGTAGCTAGTTAGCTGGCTAGTTTCAGCCGTAGGTTCTTGATAAAAATAAAGAAATAATAGAATCCGTTCCACATTGGGTGAGGCGGGTTGCAGGAAAGTATATTTAGTTAAAGGATGGAAAGTGAGATAGAGAAATATATACGAATAAAAGACAAAAAAACTGGCTATTTACACGAGGACACAACACAATACACGACCGCACTGCTACGCCATCTTGGACATATCCTTTGAGGACAGTCCTCATATCCAAACGATGGACCACTGTCTGTATTCCTGATTTAATGGCTGGCTGACTGACTGAGAATGAACTCATTCCACTACACACTATTCATTATTCCTGCCAAGTCATCCTAAGGCCTTTCCTAATGAGCCTGTCCAAAAGACAGTCTGTCCTCCATCTCCCAAATCCCTCGCCCCGTTTCCACTACAGGTAACCTGTCCCAATATTTGGGTCACAAAGTCCCTGAGGAGTAGAGAGGGAGAGATATCGCTATGACCTCTCTGGACAGCTATGTCAAGAGGCTAGGAACACTAACACAACCGTACTGGATATAAATAAAACCTAATTGGCTTTACTCAACCTCTTCCTTCCAAAAAAGAGTATCTTTAGAGGTTGAGAGAAATGCAAGGGCTGGTGTAAAACTAACCCCCTGGCAGGCAATTTGATCTCAAGCCCTGAAGTTCACTAGTAATCATTCATATTGGTGTGAGTAGACCGATGTAACACTGGTGTATCATTCATGATTGTTAACTACACTAAGACGATGTGTACTTCAGTGTGCTATTATCTAACCTGGCTGACTTTTAGTCTCAGGCTGACACCAAATGAAAGTGAACTGTTCTGGTGGACAAAATGGTGGTACTCACATGGAACTCGATGTTGCAGGAGTCTGGTTGGTCCTCGGCAGGGGAAAACCTCCATATCGTCTCCAGGTGGCTGAAGAGGGATCCGTCTGTACACACGGCCTGTGAGACAACATGCACACTCATCATTACACACTGCTCTTGTCCAGGACATGGCCCCAGACAAAGCCTCTCTAATCCTTGCTCTATGGACGGAGGAGCAAAATGTTAGCAGCTAGGTGATCAAAAAAACTATTTTGTATTTATCCCCTAGAAGGATCTAATCAATGTATTACAGATGATTTAACCCATTAATCTGGTCCCATAGTACATTGAAATCCCATAAGTTACAGTATTGAAATTCCACAGTACACGATATTCTTCAGAAAGTATTCACACCCCTTGACTTTTTCCACATTTTGTTATGTTACAGCCTGAATTTGGAATGGATTAAATTTAGATTGTGTCACTGGCCAACACACAATACCCCATAATGTCAAAGTAGAATTACGTTTTTAGAAATGTGTACAAATTAATAAAGAAGGTAAAGCTGAAATATCTTGAATCAAGTATTCAATCCCTTTGTTATGGCAAGCCTAAATCAGTTCAGGAGTAAAAATTTGCTTAACAAGTCACATAAATTGCATGGACTGTGTGCAATAAGTGCTTAACATGATTTTTGAATGGCTACTTCATCTCTGTACTCCAAACATACAATTATCTGTAAGGTCCCTCAGTCAAGCAGTGAATTTCAAACAGATGAAACCAAAAAGACCAGGGAGGTTTTCCAATGCCTCACAATGGGCAACTATTGGTAGTTAGAGAGTTTAATGGCTGTGATAGGAGAAAATGGAGGATGGATCAACAACATTGTAGTTACTCCACAATACTAACCTAATTGACAGAGTGAAAATAAGGAAGCCTGTACATAATACAAATATTCCAAAACATGCATCCTGTTTGCAATAAGGCACTAAAGTAAAACTGCAAAAAGTGGCAAAGAAATGAACTTTATGTCCTTAATACAAAGTGTTATGTTTGGAGGCAAATTTAACACAACACATCACTGAGTACCACTCTTCATATTTTCAAGCATGGTGGTGGCTGCATCATATTATGAGTATGCTTGTCATCGGCAAGGACTAGGGACTTTTTTAGGATAAAAAGAAACGGAATAGAGCTAAGTACAGGCAGAATCCTAGAGGAAAACCTGGTTCAGTCTGCTTCCCAACAGACACTGGGAGACAAATTCACTGATCACCAGGACAATAGCATAAAACGCAAGGCCAAATATACACTGGTGTTGCTTACCAAGAAGACAGTGAATGTTCCCGATTGCCCGAGTTACAGTTTTGACTTAAAATCGGCTTGAAAATCTATGGCAAGACTTGGAAATGGCTGTCTAGTAATGATCAACAACCAACTTGACAGAGCTTGAAGAATTTTAATAATAATAATGTGCAAATATTGTACAATCCAAGTGTGCAAAGCTCTTAGAGACTTACCCAGGTTTCACTGCCAAAGGCGATTCTAACACTTATTGACTTATGTAAATGAGATATTTCTGTATTTCATTTTCAATATGTGCAGAAATGTCATGTTTTCACTTTGTCATTATGGGGTATTCTGTGTAGATGGGTGATTAAAAAAATGTTTATCTGTTTTGAATTCAGGTTGTAACAACAAAATGTGGAACAAGTCAAGGGGTATGAATACTTTCTAAAGGCACTCTAAATAGGGCACAATTTTCATATTGATACAGGATGTTTACCCTCTCCTAGCTATAAACCGTGTTGTACCATGTTATTGGGGCTTACCCTGACTTGGTGGTTTGGGACAATTGTGACCTCCGAGGTGTAACGCTCCACGATGGGGGGGAACCCAATCTCCAGCTGGGCCCGGACATCCCCGTTCCTTCCCTTCACGACCCGGGACTTCTTACACCAAGGGACAAAGTGCTGGTACTGGTCCACACTGGCCACCACACTGTACATCTGCTCTGGAGTGTACCTGGATGGGGAAGGAGAGGGGGATCCATCAAGAAGATGCTCATAGGACTACTCAGGTACACTTTAAAAAAAGAAGCTAGGAGTAAACATTGGCCTGTGATATAGTAAAGATACAATATGCTCAGGTCTATTTCAATCCAACCACATGTTAACTGAAGGTTATTGGAGTTGAGAATAGGAAAGTGGGGCTTTAGAATCACCTCTGGTCAAAAGGGGCTGACAAGACAGAGACGAGTTGTGTGTGTGATGATGTCTCACCCTAGTATGCGGCTCTCAGAGTACTCCATCCTGCGGGCAGTGATGGCAGCAGCCAGGTTAATGAAGCTGCGGGAGGGTGTAGACCGGAGGAGGGGGGAGGACAGGAGCAGGGTGGCACGCCGTTCTGACAGTGCCCCACAGGTGCCCAGGTGTCTGGGAGGATGAGGAGAGGGAGAAAAGTATGTGTTCATCTGTGGTAAAGCACACTGGTCTTATGCTCAGATAGCTTTAGCCGCCTGCCTTGGTGACTTTTTTGTTTGATAGTCAATCTTTTCAAACTCCAGAAGAAAATAACAGTTTTAAAGTATTATAACAAAAACAATCTACATTATTTTGTCCCAGTTTGGTGAAAATAGTCTGACAGTGTGTTTAAATTCCAGACTTAAAACAATGAGATTGGACCAAACCCTTTCAAAAGCTCTATAACTTCTACTATGTAGTAGGCCTATCTAAAATGGTTCCTAACTCAAAGACAAATTTGATGGATAAAGTAAGACACCTGAGGGTTATGAACAGAGCATGTTGACTGGACATGTGTAGGAGCCTAGAAGACCTGCCAGAGGGACCCCCTTCCTCTCTCAGTCCTGTGACTCAACATTCCAATGCAACATCTCGCATTTGCCCGCTCAAAAAACACTGCCATACGAAATATCTCACTGCTTCAAAAATGAAACCACCAGCTTCTAGCCGAATTGATAACCTTCCCTACATAAAAAAAAAAAAAATAATCACCTAGGCCAGTGCTAAACTCTTTCACACATGACCCCATAGCCGCAGGAATATGTTTGGGGGGGAGCTGCAGATGGCTGTATCGTCTCCTAATAATACAGGAGTAGTAAAGGCCTAGTGCACTACCTTTGTGATTTTTTTTTTTTTTTTTTGTATTATTAATATATATTTTTAATTCAAAAATGTTCAGGGGGCCCTACTTCCCGGCCCTATGACCCCCTTTCATCATGAGGGTACATCTCCTGCCGCCCACAATTTATGCCTTCAACTTTTGTATTCTAAACATAATACAGAGGATTGATTGATTCTGCTGGTCAGAGTCTGGGAGACAGGCAGGCTGCCTCTTACTGGGGAAACATACTTTTTTTTAGCCTACTGCCTGACACAGAGAAACAGCAATTTTCCAATTCTGTACCCTACTAGAAACCATATATTCTAAGGTTTATAATGACGCTAAAGTTGTCTTTTAGCTCTTAAAAATGTACGCCAATATAGGCCAAAGCGTTATCAATCGTGAGATGTGCATCGTCACTTCGCAATAGAAACTTTCTCCATTTGGAAAAATATATAATTTTCTATATAATTCTTATTCGTGCTTATGCATTTAACATATTCAATTGTACTGCACTATTTTATTTGTTCCAAACTAGCTCAGATTTAACCAACTTTAATTGAATTATATATATATATATAAAAATTGTTTCTTATTTTGTTCGTTTATCCCCTACCTCTCTGCTGCACCATGCAGACCCTAGGGAGGAGCGTCCTAGGCCTACATTTTACACCAACGTCTCAGATTCAAAACGTATTTTTTAATGTACACAAATTAATTTGCGTTGTATTCCACAGATTCAACCATTGTGAAAAATAAATCAGCCACAGGCTACAGTTGGTAAATGATCAAAATAGCCTACACGTCGCCGGTTGCTGCAAACTTGCTGGAGGATTGCTCACCGGCATTTTTGCTCTTACCTGATATTTGCTCTGTTGGGATTTCCTTCAGACATCTTAACCAGTGCCCGGAAAAGAAGAGGGATGGTTTTGTTGGCCATGCTCGCAGTTTGTGGTAATGCAAATTCTCAAAGTTTGAAGAGAAGCGATGACTCCCTGCGTAGCCCGGCTTTGTCCAAGGTCTGCTATAAAATCATGTGGCACTCAGGTTGCATAAAATGGAGCCATAATGTGTGACGGGGGGGGGGGGGGGGGGGGTTCTATGTCAGACGACCAATCGGAACGAAAGATAGGAGTGTTATAGGCTATTGAGTATTCATGATTCATCAATCAGTCATCAAGCTGTAAATTCCCATACAGACCATTCATTATTTTGAGTAGTTTCAGTTTTTCCTGTTCGCTATAGAGAACTGTACACACACACGCACGCACGCACGCACACACACACACACACACACACACACTCATTCAGTTGCCTACTGCAGGTATGAAAACTATATATCATGCTGTGTATTACCTAATTGACTTGACATTCAGATACACTATTCTTATATTTCATATTTCAATATTTTAGAGGAGATGGATTGATATTGTCAACTAATTCTCAATGTCACTGCCAGCAGCATGGGCAGACATTTATGTGTGGCTGGGCCAACATTTTCCAGCAAAAATACAGCACAAATTCCCCCGACATATTTAAGTGAAAATTAGTGCCATCACATTGCATAATTTAACACATAACACAGGATAAATGTGACCAAGAAACACCACAAATTTCCCTTGACAAACGAACCCGTTATTATTGCCAAGTAGTCAGCGCAAGTGCACAACTGTGCAACTAACTACACAACCGCTTACAACAACACCGCTGACAAAACAGGCCCACTGTCCTAGTACGACAGTAAACAAACATAATGGAATATACAACATGTCTATCACCTACATATTCAGAGAGAGAGAGAGAGAGAGAGAGAGAGAGAGAGAGAGGCAGAGAGAGCGTGAGAGATATACAGCACAGGAACAACAGGTGGATTCAGGACCATTGTCAGCGCATCCGCCAGACACCAGCTTGGATTGGATGCGCAAACAGCTTATGGCACAAATAAGCGAGGAAGAATAGAAGCCCTGAAGGTGTTTTCATTAAGCCCAAAACAGCACACTTTTTGCCATATGAAAACAGCCACCCACAATACAATACAATCACTTTAGGGCTATATCTTGAACTGTACGGCAGGTATGAAATGAATAGATTACTTTGAATAAGCAAACGCTACAGTATAGTCACTCAGGCGTAAAAACATGACATCATTATACATAATTCATTTATGACTAGCTCACTTGAATCAGCAAACATAAACTTGGCCTGCCCAGGCAGGCATGAAAACATGAAATCATCATATATAGCCTAATATCAAGGCGGGTATGAATACAGTAGCTCACTTTGAATCAAACACATATAAAAAACAGAAAATATCACATTCACATAAGTATTCAGACCCTTTACTCAGTACTTTGTTGAAGCACCTTTGGCAGCGATTACAGCCTCGAGTCTTCTTGGGTATGACGCTACAAGCTTGGCACACCTGTATTTTGGGAGTTTCTCCCATTCTTCTCAGCAGATCCTCTCAAGCTCTGTCAGGTTGAATGGGGAGCGTCGCTGCACAGCTATTTTCAGGTCTCTCCAGAGATGTTAGATCGGGTTCAAGTCCAGACTCTGGCTGGGCCACTCAAGGACATTCAGAAACTTGTCCCGAAGCCACTACTGCGTTGTCTTGGCTGTGTGCTTAGGGTCGTTGTCCTGTTGGAAGGTGAACCTTCGCCTCAGTCTGAGGTCCTGAGCTCTCTGGAGCAGATTTTCATAAAGGATTTAATTGTACTTTGCTCTGTTCATCTTTCCCTCAATCCTGACTACTCTCCCAGTCCCTGCAGCTGGAAAACATCCCCACAGTATGATGCTGCCACCACCATGCTTCACCGTAGGGATGGTGCCAGGTTTCCTCCAGACTTGACGCTTGGCATTCAGTCCTAAGAGTTCAATCTTGGTTTCATCAGACCAGAGAATCTTGTTTCTCATGGTCTGAGAGTCCTTTAGGTGCCTTTTGGCAAACTCCAAGCAGGCTGTTATGTGCCTTTTACTGAGGAGTGGCTTCAGTCTGGCCACTCTATCATAAAGCCTGATTGGTGGAGTGCTGCAGAGATGGCTGTCCTTCTGGAAGGTTCTCCCATCTCCACAGAGGAACTCTGCAGCTCTGTCAAAGTGACCATTGGGTTCTTGGTCACCTCCCTGACCAAGGCGCTTCTCCCCCGATTGCTCAATTTGTCTGGGCGGCCAGCTTTAGGAAGAGTCTTGGTGGTTCCAAACTTCTTCCATTTAAGAATGATGGAGGCCACTGTGTTCTTGGGACCTTCAATGCTGGCAAAAATATTTGGGTACCGTTCCCCAGATCTGTGCCTCGACACAATGCTGTCTCAGAGCTCTACGGACATTTTATGTGGTACCATATGATTGTGATATTACATTAGATCCCAGGAACCTCCTACTACATTTTTCAAAATGTCTGATTAGTCAGGAGACAATACAAACATTGAATTTTTATATATTTGAAGCCAGTGTTCAATCTGGCAGGGCCTCTGCCCAGACTGGCCGTGCCATGGCTTCACCTCTGGTCACTGCCCAACTACCCCCCAAATTGAATGGTCAAATTCCAATGCAGTGTTCTCAACACTGTCACAGTGATGCTATTGTGGAGAGTCAAAGTCCAAACCCACCATGCATGATGTGGGTGGGTGTTTCATGACGGAGGGGATGACTGAGACAGACGACCTGTCTGGTTATGATGCAAACCTGGACCTTGGTACGCTGACTGGTACACTATCTCCAACTGTGGGTTTAAACAAAGTCAGGGCAACTTGCAAATTATAGCAGGTTGACATGGGTCACATGACATGACCTACTGTACTGCAGGCCTAGAAAGAACATCCATATTGGTATTACCAATATTTCAGAATAACATTGCTTTAATCCACTATTTGATTAAAATAATTGAGGCTATACTGTATGTTGACCTCCCGCACTAATTAATGTCCTATTGCTTAGGCTATTATAAGGGCAGCTATAACACTGTTAGTCTAACTAACCACTTAATTATTAATGACCTATGTGGCAACATAGCCAGAAGTGGAGGAATTAGGTCGCATTCAGGATCGTCAGGCCTCTATTAGGCCAGCTTACCAAACAGCGATTGGACAGTCAATCCAATCAGAGATGGTAGGTACTGTACATATACGTACAGTGGGGAAAAAAAGTATTTAGTCAGCCACCAATTGTGCAAGTTCTCCCACTTAAAAAGATGAGAGAGGCCTGTAATTTTCATCATAGGTACACGTCAACCATGACAGACAAAATGAGGAAAGAAAATCCAGAAAATCACATTGTAGGATTTTTAATGAATTTATTTGCAAATTATGGTGGAAAATAAGTATTTGGTCAATAACAAAAGTTTCTCAATACTTTGTTATATACCCTTTGTTGGCAATGACACAGGTCAAACGTTTTCTGTAAGTCTTCACAAGGTTTTCACACACTGTTGCTGGTATTTTGGCCCATTCCTCCATGCAGATCTCCTCTAGAGCAGTGATGTTTTGGGGCTGTCGCTGGGCAACACGGACTTTCAACTCCCTCCAAAGATTTTCTATGGGGTTGAGATCTGGAGACTGGCTAGGCCACTCCAGGACCTTGTAATGCTTCTTACAAAGCCACTCCTTCGTTGCCCGGGCGGTGTGTTTGGGATCATTGTCATGCTGAAAGACCCAGCCACGTTTCATCTTCAATGCCCTTGCTGATGGAAGGAGGTTTTCACTCAAAATCTCACAATACATGGCCCCATTCATTCTTTCCTTTTCACGGATCAGTTGTCCTGGTCCCTTTGCAGAAAAACAGCCCCAAAGCATGATGTTTCCACCCTCATGCTTCACAGTAGGTATGGTGTTCTTTGGATGCAACTCAGCATTCTTTGTCCTCCAAACACGACGAGTTGAATTTTTACCAAAAAGTTATATTTTGGTTTCATCTGACCATATGACATTCTCCCAATCCTCTTCTGGATCATCCAAATGCACTCTAGCAAACTTCAGACGGGCCTGGACATGTACTGGCTTAAGCAGGGGGACACGTCTGGCACTGCAGGATTTGAGTCCCTGGCTGCGTAGTGTGTTACGGATGGTAGGCTTTGTTACTTTGGTCCCAGCTCTCTGCAGGTCATTCACTAGGTCCCCCCGTGTGGTTCTGGGATTTTTGCTCACCGTTCTTTTGATCATTTTGACCCCACGGGGTGAGATCTTGCGTGGAACCCCAGATTGAGGGAGATTATCAGTGGTCTTGTATGTCTTCCATTTCCTAATAATTGCTCCCACAGTTGATTTCTTCAAACCAAGCTGCTTACCTATTGCAGATTCAGTCTTCCCAGCCTGGTGCAGGTCTACAATTTTGTTTCTGGTGTCCTTTGACAGCTCTTTGGTCTTGGCCATAGTGGAGTTTGGAGTGTGACTGTTTGAGGTTGTGGACAGGTGTCTTTTATACTGATAACAAGTTCAAACAGGTGCCATTAATACAGGTAACGAGTGGAGGACAGAGGAGCCTCTTAAAGAAGAAGTTACAGGTCTGTGAGAGCCAGAAATCTTGCTTGTTTGTAGGTGACCAAATACTTATTTTCCACCATAATTTGCAAATAAATTCATTAAAAATCATACAATGTGATTTTCTGGATTTTCTTTTCTCAATTTGTCTGTCATAGTTGACGTGTACATATGATGAAAATTACAGGCCTCTCTCATCTTTTTAAGTGGGAGAACTTGCACAATTGGTGGCTGACTAAATACTTTTTTTCCCCACTGTAACTCAGAGGCTGGCTCTGTCTGTGCTGAAATTGTAGGTTAGGTCATAGGCCATAGCTCGCTCTGTGCTGTAATGGTATGTTCTTAGACTAGCGTTTGGCTCTTGAGTGTTGGAATATCACACTGTACTTTACATAACCCACAGAGGGTAAAATAAGACCTAGTTTGCTCTGTTGAGAGTGGTGACATTTTGTGTCACCTTTTTGTGCCAGTTTGGGGATGGAACGAAACAGGAGCCTGAAGTGAGAGATGTATTTGTCTTGAACTTAGGCTTTTAGAATTACAGTGTACTTCATTGTTTCCATTAGACTCAAATTCAACATTTTTTAAAAACAATTTGACCAGTGTCCGCAACTTCACAAAGGAGACAAAGGAGACAAAACAAACCATCACTTACAGTGACGTCTTTACGCTTTAGAGATGTCATCATCAGTCACCTGGCTGTATGTTTTACGTAGATGTGCCAATTATTTAACTTTATAGGCTTACCCCTCTTTCAAATCAGGAACTTTAACTACCCGATGGATAGGATTACTCTATACACCACCTGGTGGACAAAATAAAGAACATCTGTTGACTCATGTTGGATCATGTGAGAAACACTTCATTAATATTTACAGTAAATCAGTGAATAACACAGATTACAACACATAAACAGGTTAAACAGGGATGTTGATGAGGAGCTTGTATGCGGTCTCTTGGAGGTTGAAATCTCCTCCTTCAAACTGAAATAGTTGTCATCAGATTTCATGAGTCACATCATGGACCTTAACCAGAACAATAGAGACTGTAATTATCTCCTTGGGAACATAACATTGTGTGTATATGTGTGCGTGTGTGTGTGTGCGCGCGCAGACGTTCGTATGCATTGTTTGTGTTCAGTTTTTTGTTGCTTTGTAGCAATGTTTGGAGAGGAAGGACAGAGAACCTCTGGGTTAGAGATATTTCAAACATGTCCATGAAACAGGTCACAGAGCTAGAAAATAACATGAGGGAGAAAGTCTGTACATAGTTCAATGTCAGAACATTGTGAACTGGCAGGGAAAACATACTGGGCTGCATACTGTGTTGGGGAGTAGTGAACTACATTTAGTTAAACTAGTAATGTAACTACATTTTGCAATAGCTTGGTGGTAGTTGAACTTAATTCAAATATTGTGTGTTAATTACTGTTCTTTAGCATGTGGTGGTGTAGCTACTGGAACTTCTGTAACTACACATAAAATATGGGTGAAATAGGCAAGAATTTCCTTTGTTTTTCGACATCAGACCTGTCTATTTCTCACTTGAAATTAGACATTGTGTTGTGACTCCAGAGTGATCTGCTCTTGCAATTTGTCATCTATGACATTTAGATATGATCATTTATCACAAAGTAGTTTGGATGTAGTACTTTTGTCTATAAAAATGTATATTTCAAATCTTGTTAATATTAAGACAAATGTAATGTAATAGAAAAGTTGGGATTGTCCCGTCTTTCAAGAATCCCTGAGAGACAAATCCGCCTCACTCTCAGATAAATGAGTAGTACTCCTAGGTTTTACACAGTCAAATGTAACAATAACTACATCCTTTATAAAGAACTGTATGAATGATACATTTGTGACATCAATATTTACAAAATATATTTAAAAAAGCATTCAATACAGTAATATTTGACATTTTAATAATTTAGCAGATGCTCTTATCCAGAGCGACTTACAGTAAAAGTGCATTCATGTTAAGATAGCTAGGTGAGACAACCACACATCACAGTCAAAAATACAGGATACAAACATTTCATTCCATGCTAAACAATGGATATATAGCATTTAGCAACAAAAAAAAAACGAATTCTCATACACATACACTAAAATCTAAGAACAGTAATATCTTACACACACATGAAGGTACCCATAAGCAATCATTTCTGATGAAAAACATTGGTGGATATAGAGTTTTGGAAATAAACTCTTCAAATGTATAAGAGGGTTGTGACATCAAAGCAAAGCGTTGTGACATCATAGCAAAGCCCCCACCTTGAAGTTGGTGGTTGAACATTGTGTGTAAAGAAGACGATTTTGGATGTCCATGTTGTTGGCTGAAATGATGTGCTTGTGTGTGGCTCCAATGCAAATCATATGTATAACTTATGTATATAGCCTATGTATGTATAAAGTAAAGGGTTATATTACATTCTATAGTTTTATGGCTATTTTTGTTCCTCTTTCCCGTTGGTTGAGAAGATGATCTTGCTCATAGTTCTGATGTACTGGGACCCGTCCAGTGCTGAGATCTTAGGGCTGCTGAGGGGAAGGAGGGCATTGTTGGTGTAGTATCTGAATGCAGGGTTCGATGACTGGATGGCATCCAGAAATACCTATAGTGAGAGGGGTCCTGCTATCAAATCTACTCAAAAGTACTACTTACACTTCCATAGAAAATCTATAAATATCTAGTATCATATACATTATATGTATGTACATGCAGTATGCACTGGAGACAGGGAGGAGAAAGAGGGAGAGGAGCACCTAAATAACTAATTGATGTCAAGTAAGCACTAGGAATATTACCCCCTCTAGTGGTCCTTCTTGCTCACTGCAGACACACCACAGCCTACTGTACCTTCACAATATCCTCTGTGTCCTGAGCTGCATTCTGGAACACCATCCCACAGTGTTGCAGGTACGTGTCATAGAGGCTGCGTGTGTGGGCGTCGACCTGCTGCAGCGAAGAGTCCCCTGGCTCTGCCCTCTGCAGGTTGTCCAGGAAATCCGTGTTGACAGGGCCGCACTCAATAAGACTCACACTGCATAATGGTGGATGGAGAGAATCAATACCAACACAGAGTGTTGCACATACAGTGCACATCCAAAACGAAACACTGACAAAGGGATACATGAGCTGATGACCACTGTCTGGACTCACTGGATGTTGAAGTGCTGCAGGAGAATGGCCAGACTCTCACAGGCGCCCTCTACTGCAAACTTACTGGCACAGTACACCTCATTAAAGGGGAGTCCTACAATACAATCACACACAGATCTGTGATTATCATGGCAATAAATACTAAACAAAGCTCAAAATCTGACCTCAGATCAGTGTCTAAGGGCAATTTCATCCCACTCCCTCTCCTGTCACCCCAGCCCTGCTCTCTCTCTCTCACCCTGTAGCCCACCGATGCTGCCAGTGACCAGGATGCGTCCGTGGCCCTGGGCCTTCATCCCTGGTAGGAAGGCCTGGATGGTGCTGATGGTGCCCAGGAGGTTGACTTCCAGGATCTGCCTCATGGTGGCCAGGGACTGGGCCTCCAACGGCCCCATCAACCCCACCCCAGCATTACACACTGCCAACAAGAAGACCACAGACACACAGAAAGTCAGAGCACATGACATAATGTATGCTGTACACATGTAAAGAAATAGTCTTTGATGTAAAAATATGAAGGACATCTGTTCTTCTGTTTTGCGCACACAACCACACACAACCCCACAAACACACACACGCATGCACACGCGCACACACGCACACACACACGCACACAATATTACACTATTACTGTAAGTCATGACTCTGGCCGTACCCAGAATGTTCACCCTCTTCTCCCTGACCCTGTCCCTGGCATCCAGAATGGACCCCTGGTCAGTGATGTCCATCTGGAGGATGTCCAGGGTGTCCTTGTGCAGGCCCTTCACACAGTCCAGCAGACGCTCCTTCTTGGCAAGATTCCTCATGGTGGCATAGACTAAACACAGGGGATATCAGTGGTCAAGGACATCAGAAATTTCACCATCAGAGATCTACCATTAAACATGTACGGAACAAAAAGTATGAAACAGAGCTTTACAACAACATTATATTGTCATCATAGTTTCCAAAACTATAATTTTCTGTAATTACATTGTGATGCAGATAAACCAACCAAAACATGTTTTCTAATATGTGCCTGCCATGTAGTCAACAGGCATAATACTCAGAGACAGCTTACTGCTTCAAAGCCATTATGCAACAAACATGTCACGTATTGTACCAACGCTGTTTATTACATGATCTTACAGCACTGAATAAAATAAACGCTTTCTGTATGGTGGTCCTTGCAAGTCAGTCGCTGCTTACCTTTGTACATTTTCGCTGGATCCGAGGCCAGCCGGACGGCCAGACTGAGGCCTATCCCCGAGGAGCATCCTGTGATCAGCACCACTGTCTGCTCCATTGGGCTGCTGGTCTACACGTCCTCTGGGTCTGGTACCTAACGGAGAGATGAGGTCTGAGGGAAGGAGACGAGGAGATACACGAGGCAGCTCAGTAGGGTTTGATGAGGGGTGTGAGATGAGATGGTATGGGAAGAGATCCAGTTTGTTTTGTTTGCTGATGCTCAAAGTCATGTTTTCACTGTCTTCCCTATCACAAGGTCCCTAGAATATAAACATGCTCTCATTTCCCAGCCCAGGATGGATTTTTGCTAGGCCAGGTGTTCCCACGAGGTCTGTCTGTGGCCATCAACCCATCACCCGAGCCCTTTCACTCACTGGTTCAAAACATTCTCTAAGACCTAAACCTCAACTGGAGTTGTGCATAAAGGGTGTGAGCATTGAGCAAGTTGAGGAAGCTAAACTCCCAGGTAAAACATTGGATGGTCACTTATCATGGGCAAGTCATATTGACAAAGTTATTGTGAAGATGGGGAGGGGTATGTCTGTTATTAACAGATGTTCTGCGTTTTTGACACATAAATCAACTGTACTAGTTGTTCAGTCTCTGGTCTTGTCTTATCTTGATTACTGTCCAGTAACATGGTCCAGTGCAGCAAAGACAGACTTGGCAAAGCTGAAGATGGCTCAAAATAGAGCAGCACGCCTTTCCCTTAACTACATAGTGTATACAGAACTAACATCAACAACATGCATGCCAGTCTTTCCTGGTTGAGGGACTAACTGCTTCTCTTCTAGTTTTAATGAGAAATATTACTGTGATTAAAATTATTGATTGTCTGCATAATCAAATAACATTCAGCTCAGACACCCATACATACCCCATAAGACATGTCACCAGGGGTCTCTTCACATTCCCCAAGTCAAACACACAGACACTCTAACACACACATTATTTTTTGTTGTATTGTTTGTATTCTTTTTGTTGTTGTATGGTTTGTATATAGTTGTATTTAAAATGTGTGTGACTGTCCTTGTCTATCAGTGTTTTGTTACTTGTCATGTTTTGTGTTTTTTGTGGACCCTAGGAAGAGTAGCCACTGCTTCTGCAAAAGCTGATGAGGATCCAAATAAACAAATAAAATAAATATGACCCACTGATAGAGACTGGAGCTTTGATTTTGTCCTCAGTGTCAGTCAATCTATCACATCATTTGAAAAAAACTGCCAAACCTGAGGAAAATTATCCGGAACAATAAATATCCCTACAGCAGTTAGTTACTTTAACCAGGAGATGGAAGCACTGTCATTATCAATGTGTGCAGCACAGGAGCCCTAGCCAGTGGGCCCTCTGGTCAGTATCTCTGGTCACACTCAAACCTACACTGACCACACATTCTCCTAGAACACACAGTGGACCACTAACACTCCACCTAAAACAATTATGTTGAGAACAGCCAGTGAAGAACACAAAAGGGTCTTGGATAAAATAGAGACATTTGGAGTATAATTAGTCTCTCGTTGGCTATACTTGCCAACTGACACCCACACTTACCAGAAATGCATTGGCTGAAATTACTACATAGCCAGTAATTGAAAGCCTGTAAACCCCTGGTAGGATAGTTATAGGGCTCGTAGCGAGTGTCATGTAGATGCTCTTTGTTTTGGAGAACTGCAGTCTAGTGCTATGGTAGGGTAGGCTGTAACATTGTTTCAAATCCATCCTAAGAACTGTGCCATTTAAGTCCAGACCTCTAGGTAGAGGAAGTAAGTTATAGCACAAATGTTGATACATAGGCCTATGCATTCTCTTGCTGGAATATATAGGATAGGCCAGTGCTGAAACCTTGACATTTGACTTCTGAGAACTTATGCAGCAGGTTAGGAGAATAAGGTTAAGGAAAAGGATTAGGGTTAGCTAAAACGCAAACATTTTCAACTTTTTCACTATTTTGTGTGAGTGAAGTGAGTTCGGAAAAACTGAAAGTATGCATCTTAGAAATAGTTTTCACATACAAACATTATATGTCCGAACTCCGAATCAAATAGGCTTCCAAATAATAACATGGTGTGGTAGAACGTTTATTTTTATTGGAGAATTTCTGCATAAAGTCCCATCAGGTATACTGATTTCAGATGTGTCCATGTAAACAGGATTATTAGGGAAATCGTTCTTCTTGCAAAACATGTAAACGTTTAAATCAAAATATTATATTAAAGGGCGAATGCACTTCCTGATTTGGCCTGTTTTAGACTTGGTTAATTAAGAAATGTTAGCGGCCATGACTGAATTCAAACTTGATTTGGTTTCGGGGTGTGGTTTGATGTGGGTGTCGCTTGTGTGTGTTCGCAGGTGGGAAGAGTTAGCCAAATTATTTCACCAATTAGCTTCAGCTGGCTGGTGTGCGACCTCGTGGCAAAGTTGGTTTCCCTTTCGATAGCCTATCTCCGGGGCTAGTTAGAGACCTTCAACAAATTACACAATGTAAATGAGACAATGTTTTCATGTTGCACACCTTTTAGTCTTTTCATTAAATGCTTTCAATATTTGTATATGAATTTTTACAATTTAAAGTTGGTTTGAGGTTTTTAAGTAATCACGTCATCCAAAAACATTGGATGAACATAAAATGTTAATGTCTTCGGCTGCGAGTGATGAAAATAAATAAGCTTCAGTGAAAATGTAAATAATTTCATGGATGTTTTGTGCACAAATGTGATGACTAAAGTGTCTTATTATGATTTTTTTTATCTGACTTCTCTATTTGTCGTATATGGAAATTGTCTTTCTGGGCCAGGTGTCAGTTAAACTGCAGTACCGATAAAAGACTGAAGAAGCAGTCGAAACCGTGCTTCTAGACCAGAACCCTAGCACCTTGCTTACAGCCTGAACTGCCCTATGTCCTGTTCTCTTTACAACAATGAACCCAAATCTGACCAATCAGAATATAACAAAGTAGGGGCCTAACAGCAGTGGCTTAGAAAATAATATTTATCATAAAATAATCCTACACTGAATTTATGATCCTATTTACACATTGTAGTCAATTTTGACAGTAGAATACATGTTTCTGACACATATCGATGCCACATATAGGCTGTTTTCTAAGTGAGAAGTTGGTTTTTAGGGCAGTTGTTCTTTAATCATTCTGAGTATTCACAATAATCGTAGGCCTATTATTTTAATTTATTTTGCACCTGCGCCAGGTCACCTGACATTTGAGTTTGCCCTACATTTCCAATTGGAGTCAGAAGTGCATGGGAAAACGTGATATAGGTTAGTATTAAATATGGTATTCAGATCAGGGGCACCCAGCCCAGTAAAATTATTATTCAATGCAAATAAACCAGGTGCTCAATCCATCACGCAAATATTTGCTCGGTGGTGACGGTGACCCCATCCACAGTGGCCGTCTCCAGTCAACTCCTCCAGGTAAAAGATAATGGGGTTTGTTCATCTGCCAAGAAGGCGTCTGTCCAGACAGTCCTCGATTTCCTCCGATATAGATCACTTCCCCCCATGGCCATCGCAAATTCCAGGGCGCTCACAAGCCTGTCCATTAAGTGGCTGTCCATTAAAACACATTAATTTTCAGTGTGGATATTTGCTGATTAGATCTGCATGCCAAGACCATTAATCTCCGCCTGTCAGAAATGTGTACAGTACAGGCCTTTCTCCAGAGATGGCCAGTATTTCTGTTACATGTATTTGAAATATGTATTTCAATTACTTCTGAGTATTTTGTCATTTGTATTACACTGGGCTGAACTACACTCCAATGTATTTTGTAACAAGATACTTGAGAGAGCTGTAATATGTATTTTCAAAATACCAAATACTTTTCCATACCTTTTGTTTTATAGTGGTACACCATTTTGTGGCCCCCTTTCACCCTGCATTGGTATCAGAAATCTGACGACACTATGGTGTGATAAGAGTGTCTGCTAAATAAACTAAATATAAATGTGAATGTATAAATGGACAATTGCAAAGCATGCTGAGTATTATTCTAATAAGCTCTGCCCTGAAACAAGATCTTGTCTAGAAGGGATACAGCTTTTGTCAAAAGCAGGTTAGGAGAATTAACGAAGCAGGTTAGAAGAATTAACGTAGCAGTTTAGGAGAATTAACGTAGCAGGTTAGGAGAATTAGGTTAAACTGTATCCCATCTAGACATGACCCCGAAACAAGGCCAATAATAATACCCAGTGTCCAGAGTGACTGTAGATAAACAACATATCACAGTCATAGCAAGTAACCGTTACTGAGAATGTTGTTACTGTTCGGGCCGGCTACTTGCAAATGTATTTCTGTATTTTAAAATTCAAAATACGTGTATTTTGTAGTTTATTTTGATACATTGATCTTTATGGTATTTTCTAATTGTATTTAGCCATTTTTGCCCATCTCTGTTTGTCTGCCAGTAACAAGAGGGCCCCAGTGATACAGAGGGTCCATTATTAGGCTACTATGCTGTTCTGTGCATGTTTTGTGGTGTAGATGAAGGCCTAATGTTTGTAGGCCTAATAGATGCATCAGGTCATGCATAGTGTGTAGTGTGTGTTTAGAAAGACCTCCCGTGGAGTGCTTGCATAGTGGTGTTTGTGTCCTAATTATTGAATAAACACACAGTGTGATTTGCCCTCGCCACCTTCATGAGAGAAGCCTGGGAGCCGAGACTAGGTTTGCCCTATATTCAGTATTGTCTGTCTCTGTCTGTGTATGTTATGTCTATGTGTCCTACCATAGACTTTATAAATACTCACTAGGTGGTGATAAAGCCTCAATTTCCAATACAGTATTCATTTTATTTCACTGGATAGACCTACCTGGCTGCCCCATTTTCAAGAAATATTTATTTTAATGATTATGATAAATTTTTGTGGTTAACTGATTGAAGATTAGATTGCATTGTGTAATTTGTAAGGATTTGTTTTCCATATAGAATCAGATGATGCTGTTTGTATTTTGAAATAGGGTGCACCATTAGGCCTACGTGATTCCCTAAAAGTTCATGTATTAAAGATGTCATTGGATATGGTAACAGTGACCACATACACC